ACTCTGCCTTTCTACAGATATAAGGTAAATGCCACTGTCAAGACAGGACATGAGATAGGGATGGGTTTTCCTATACAAAGCCCAGACATTTTGAGGTTTCTAATTCAGGTCGGTAAGTCTTGAATCTATTTGCTTGCTGAATCTTACCTACTAACTGCCTGTTTAATTAAGTAATTCTCACTTCTGTGCCTGTCCAAGCAGGACACAGAAAATCAGATTTTCTCTGGCCCCTGGGTAGTCTCACTAGCAGAACAGCACTGCTCATGAAATGCAAGCCCCAGTGCAGGAATCCTGTTCATGGAGGGAACATTTGGGCCACAGAATTACAAACAAGAGTCTGCTTCTTGCCTTCACCCCAAACTGTGAGAAACAGGGAGTTAACCTAGGATAAATTCACCCTAAGAAATCATTTGTCCCTGGAAATGCCCCATGGCACTCATCCTGCCTGCCTCACTGACAATCCCCCCTGGCAAAATGGGAAGTCACTTTCCCACCTCTCCACTCAGTAAAATTCCCACTGATTCCTCAGAACCTAAATCAGCAGCACTTCACTGCCTTACTGAAAAAGCCACCTGGTGCTTTTGGAGTTGCTGTCTGAGGATGACTGGAGGGAAGGGAGAGAAGCAAAGAACAGACAAAGAAGAGCTCAGTTTCCAGCATCCTGTGCAAAAGCTGATGCAGTGAAGCTGCAGCAAGGGTTTGGAGGGGAAGGACAGTGCTGCTGGTGATGGATTCCTGAGGATGCAATGCAGAGAGAGAACAGGGAACAGGCAGCTCCTGAGGACCTTGTCCACAAGCCATGCTTCTCAACAAGGTGTGACAAATGTGGCTGGGCTAAGGCTGTGGCTGTGCCACCAAGGCCAGAGGTACAAATCCCTGTGTCTATTCCCAGCACTGGGCAGTGAGAGAAGGAAGCTCAGGCTGAGGTAAATGTCACTGACAAATTTCTCATTAGCAATTCTGTGATAATCACATATCCTCTGAACCGAGAGCCATCATTCTCTCCCAGAATTTTCTTGGGAAGCTGTGAGAAAGCTCAGAGAAAACAATTCTTATCCTCACCCACTGCACCTGTTGTTGTGCACATGTGGAATGTGTTATGGAGCTTGTTTACCAAAAGGTAGTTTCTTAATTGGACTCTGGTGATGGTGTTTTGATGGAATGAACCAATTAGGTCAAAGTTGTATTGGACTGTCTGGCAAGGGCCAGGGGTTTTTCATGTAGTATTGTATAGGATAGGAACAATAAAGCAATGGATCAGCCTTCTGCAATCATGGAGTCAATGCTCATTATTCCCTGTTCAGGGGCTTGCTGCTACTACAGTAATTCCTAATATAGAAAGCCTTAGGAAACTCATCAGGCAACTGAGATATCTACAAGTTGGGCAAGATAGAGGTTGCAAGTGTCATTTGTAGATTTGGTCCAAGTGGTTCTTGCAAAGCTTTGCTGATGGCAGCAGTGGAGCCAGTATCTGGAGTGTGCAGCTCAGTGCAGATCCAGCCACACAGCCAAGGATGACAGCTGGATTGTGTGTGCTGAGTCAGCCCCACAAAATGGTACCACACAGGACCAATCTAGATACACACAGTAAACACAAACATTGCCCATTTCCTCAGTAAATAAGCACCCTACTGGCTGATACTTCTTAATAAGCTTCATTCTAGCTCCTGCCATGTCACCCAGGTGTTCCAAAGTTATCCACTTCCAGAGAGTAATCTCACACAAGTATTGTAAAGCCATATTTTCCACACAGAAAGTTTGTTCACATTTTTTTAAAGAACTAGAAGTTTCATGAGAGAAATTCTAAATCTGACAAGGAACTGAGAAAAGTCAGAGACTCCTCTTCAGCCATTTGCCTACAGACCTTGAAGCTGTGGACATTTCAAGGGAGCACCCACTCGAACACCCACTCGCTCACACTTGAAACTAAAGCTGATTAAAAATAAAAGTTTGTGTGCTGTGAAAGAAAGTCCTGACACACTCAGGGGAAATTTGGTCAAAACACAACATGAAGAACATGGAATGAAACACCACGGTGAGAGGAACAAAAGGGGACAGGAATACCCCCAAATGAGAGAGTTCTGCTGTCAGAAAAAAATACAGAAAAACCCATCAGAAGGACAGGATCCTGTAGTTAATGAATGCCATTCCAGACCTGACAGATGTGTCTCAAACACCTAGGCAGGTTCACCTCATGTTTGTTACAAACCTAAAACATGAAGGGCATTTAATCAACATTTTCAGAGCATTTCTATAGCAGCAGGTAGTCTCAGTGACTTCAGTGCTTGGTTCTGGTGCCATCATCTGCCTGACACCAACATTGCTTGGTGGCAATTCAATCAACAAAGTGAGCTGATTGAAAAATAAAAGTGAGTTATTTCCATATTGCATTTCAGAACTTCTCAAATCTGTACTGTAGGCTAACAGCAGCATTTTGAGACATGGCTTCAATTCAAGCAATTTGTAGACAAATACTAAGAGCACTTAAAAGCTATCTTGCCTTCATGTAAACATGTTTTACTGCTTTCATTTTAGGAACTCCAAAGATCCACTTGCCTCTGTTTCAAAATGGAAATTGCAGGTGCCACCATTATGCTGAGCCAATGGAAAAGTAAATGATAGGCAGCAACCAGAGTGTGATCCTCAGGATGTTTCATTTAAGTGCAGGATCTAACAAACACTACAACAGGATTCTCAATCCCAGATGAAATGATACTACAGTCCCAGCACATTTCCACAGAAGATGCTGCACAGTGGGAGAGGGGATGGTCCGTGGTGCCAAGCAGCCCTTGCCCACGGGGAGCGATGTTTGAGGGGATGTGTGTGAGCACCATGCCACCAGGCCAGCCTCACCTCCACAGCAGCCTCCTTCCATCCCTCCCTCCCACCAGAGGAAGGCAGTGGCCTCTGCTGTGGGGCCTCCCTGGCTGGCCAGGACACCCAGAGTAGGTGGGAATGTGCAGGTGGCTGTGGGTGGAAGGGGACAAGTAGGAACCCCTGGCTGGGTCCTGGTGCTCCCAAACCTCCCCAGTGTTGTGCCTGTCACACAGGATCCCAGAGCATTCTGAGTCAGAAGGGCCCACCAGGACCATCAAGTCCACCTCTTGAGCAAATGGCCCATACAGGGATGAAACCCCCACCCCTGGGGTTGTATTAATACCACACTCCCAGCAGTCTCCCATGGGGAGCAGGGTTATGGCCATTCCTGGTGTCCAGGCTGAAAGGTCCCAGGTGATTCCTCTGTCCATGTCAGTCACTCTTGTTGCTCACCCATTTCCTGCTTACCCCTCTTCAAATCACATTGTGAATAAATGGATAAACTGCATCCATCCCGAATTGTGAAGGGCAAAATATGTCATTAACTGGGAGAGAAAGTTTTCCTGACATTTAAAGCAATATGAGAAAAAGAGGTTGCTGTTATGTTTTCCCCTTCATTGCCTAGAAGTCTTGTAGTTCATTGGAAAGAGATATTTTAAACAAACCCACTTGCAGTCAGCAACAATATATAGACACAAAGTTTCTAAGATATGTCTTAGATATATTTAGGAATTCACAAACTGAAAAAGGTTGAAAAAGTTCACACTTGGTCACCAAAATTACATACAGCTTCTTCTGATGAGGATTCTTTCTCTGGTTTAAACAAGTGGTTTGCTATTTTTTGTTGTACCCTTCTTGGTTTTCTATTCTGCCATGCATTTTTTGTGTTTTATCTATGAATATTTCCTCTCTTTTGGCACAGTGCAGGTTTCAGACTTTAAGCACATCTGTGGCACCAGGTAACCCCTTCAGAAGTGCTGCTGGTGCCTGTACACAGACTCTGTACCAGCACTTCCAGCCCTGCCTGAAGGGCAGCAGAAGCCATGGGGAGAGATGGAGTTCTGCTCCAGAGCAGAGCCCGTGGTCATTGCTGCTCCCAGCAGCTCCCCATGGGATCACTCACAGGCACACAAGGCCCTTCACACAGCCCCAGGTGCTCAGGGAACCCAGAGTCATGGTCAGGGCTCCAAATGGAGCAATCTTTATGGAAACACCTTCACCAGCTTCAAACACATCACACTTCCCGATAGCTCAGAATGCCTTCAAGAGATGTCAGATTTTCACCCATTTTTTAAACAGCCCACCTTTTAAAATTAGCAATAATACTGGTAGATAGTTTTTGAACACCAATTAGAAGTTTTAAAATCTGTGTATATATATTTTTATATATGCATCTGATTTTGCATTTGCAGTTCAGGAATTCCTACCTGTAAAGCATTTTCTCTTTTTGCATTTTGAATGAAAGCAGTGTGGGTTTTTATCTTCTATTGCTTTTCCTTTTATATAACTGAAAAAACTGAATTCACTGAACTCCACAAATGCTCCTCAGCCCTCTTTCACACAAAGAAAATTCTATTTGGCAGTTCCCAAACTCCCAGTGGAAACAGAATTCTATTTTTGTGTTCTATTCTTCATATTTTACAGAAATCTGAATGCTCTGAATTATTGTCTGTTACACTATTATATAAACTTTATTTAATTTGAAATCCAAATGACAATCAACAAGGACAACCTGTCCCTGCTGAAAAGCAGCACAACTGCTAAAGCTGCTTGGAGGGATGAGTTGGCTCAACGGGAAGCAGCAGCAGAGAAAAAAATCTGCTAATGGAAGGAAAAGTGAAAGAACAGAGAACAAAGCTCAGGAAGCTCTTACACAATATTCACAGAGGAAGTAGGTAAAATTAAGGGAGAAGAATATGTCATATCACTTCTTTACTTAACTGCTGCTGCACAATGTGCAGCATGTGGGACAAGCTGGTGCCTCACTTAACTACAGAAAATTGGTATCAGCTGTTCTTTGGCAGGGGTGAGAAGTAACTACTTCCTGACTTGCACATCTGTGTAAAATGACTCCCTACACAACTTGGCTTTATATGCTCTCCAACAGATAAAAGTGTATCAACTCAAGGAGCCTGAAAGTGTTTATTTTCACTTACCACAGATGTATTAAAAGTAAGCCACCATTGTTATTCTTGTCAGTTCTTTATTGGTTTTCATCCTAAAGACTAGCACATTTACAGCATACATGGATTGGATGAACTAGAATATATAAAACAGTAGCCATATGTTTATGATATATTAATACTGCCCAAAACCAAATAAATAAAAATATTTCAATGCACAAAGCATAGCAAATACAGTCGTGTTGGGACAAAACTGTGTCATATAATACAATAATTTTACACATATAAATGAAAAAAAGGCAACTGTGCTGTAGGTACTTTCACAGAACATACACAGAACATACTTGGCAACAGTTTTCTTCTTTTACCTTTGTATGTTTTATAATTTAAAAAATGTACTCAAAAAAGGAACATTAGACAGAACTTCATTTTACAGTAATCCTTAGATTTGCCTCTCTTGTGCAACAGAAAAGCTCCCTTCCCCCTTGTGAGGGTCCCATGTGGACTTCACGTGTCACAGTTTTCTCTGGAGGCACCGCTCGAGCCCTCGCTGTCGGCACTGCCCTTGGGATGAGCCTTAGCTGTGCCCATCCTGGCAGTGCCATGTCCATCCCAGCAGTGCCATGTCCATCCTGGCAGTGCCATGTCCATCCCAGCAGTGCCATGTCCAGCCTGGCAGAGCCATGCCCAGCCTGGCAGAGCCGTGCCCATCCCAGCAGTGCCCAGCTCGGCAGAGCTGTGCCCGTCCCAGCAGTGCCATGTCCATCCTGGCAGTGCCATGTCCATCCTGGCAGTGCCATGTCCATCCTGGCAGTGCCATGGCTATCCTGGCAGTGCCAATTCCATCTCAGCAGTGCCATGTCCATCCTGGCAGTGCCATGGCTATCCTGGCAGTGCCATGTCCAGGGACACCGCGCTGGCAGCTCAGCACCCGGCACAGCCCCGCGGCACCTGGGGCTGCGGCTCCCCCACGTGCAGACAAAATTCAGCAACTTTTTCTGATTACATTGCCATACAAAATAAATAAAGGATTGCTAAGCTCTATAGCAGGTCTAATGATTGTTGGCCACCATCTAAGAGAGCGGCACTGCTAATTGTTACAATAGACATTTGTTAGCTTTCCTTCCGAAGCCGAACATTGGGAGATTTTTAGTGTAACAATACAGGACTTAAAATAAACCACGTTTGAAATAGACAAAATAAAATTATCAACTCATAAAAACAAAGGGATATAAAGAGCATAGTTTATACAAAAATAAAGTAGCATTTAATAATGGGCTAGGGACTGAAGGCTGAGCAGAACTAATGGAGTAGCATGTCTAAAGAGATCCCATTGAAAAATTTTTCATCATATATTTCTTTACTTATTAGCAAAAAATAGAACAAAATCAACATTTATTAATTGGCAAACAGGGTTTGCAACATTTCCGAGGGACTGTTCTACTGTAGATGACTTGTTCAGACCCGGGGTAGGTACTACAATACATTGCTTTTGCACAGAATTCCATGTTTTGTTATCCTAAAGAGTCTAAAATAATGGTAACAGCCTAGTTCAGCAGAACTCTCTGACCTGGCTTTGTGACATGCTGCTCAGTGTTAAACTGCAACAAGCAAAATGCAAAAACTGCTGGACCTGTAACCCCCAAACCTACATGGGAGCAGAATGAACATGGCTGATTGATAGAGCAGTGACAGCACAGACAAACATCAGTGAGAGGGAGAAAGAAATCAGAAAACAGCCATATACTTACCTGGCTGTTGCTACTCCCCCAAGAAAAAATGGGCAGATTTTTTCTATTCTAAAACTCAGATTTTTAGGAACTAAGAAGGAAAGGACAGTGTGCTGAATGAAACTAGCTAGAGATTACTGGATCCTGTTAAAATTTGGAAATGAACATTTAGCTGCTTTTTAAAATGCCTTTGCTTCAAAGGCATTCTTTGGGAGATTATTTCAGAGGAGATCTGTTGAACATTTTTTATCAAATGCTATCCAACTGACCACCTTTGTTATAAGCTAGAACCCACCTGTGGTTCTCAGGCACGAGCAGTAGCACTGAGCAGTTCCTCTCTATCAACACAGGGCATTGCTACCTTCCTCAGAAATACCCTGACACCGGCCACACTTTCCCCCACCAGGACTCTCAACAGGTGAAACACAAACGTAAACAGAACCCAATTTTGATTTTGGAGCAAAGGGGATGCATTGGGCACTTTGAGCATTTTGGTAATGACATACAAAACCAATGCAGAAAAATCGTACGCTGACAAAAATAACGTAACGCCCCAAGATACTGAGGCTTACAATCCAGAAGTGATATAAAAAAACCATGGGTAAAAATGTGTTAATTAATGTACAACACCATGGAAGATACTGAACATGTCATGTGCAACATCAGCAATTTGCTTGTTGCACTTGCCTTAGAGTGGGGAAGGGCATGGGGAACTGTTGCTGGCATTAATAGTTAAGCATCATGATGTTTCTGAAATACCTTTAAAAATCAGTTGTGTGCCCAAGGCCTTATCTGCCAAAGATGACAGGAATTTGTTTTATTTGAACAGAATTATAAACCAGACCTCACATGTCTGGCCTTTTATATATTGTTAATTTCATACATGAAGGTGGCATCCTATATACAGTAAAACAATTCTTTCTCCTGGCTCTTATTGTGCTGATTTTTTTTTTTTTTAATCAAACCCCCTTTTATTGATTGTAACAATGCGTTCTACAGTTACTAAACTGCCTAGGATCCTTTTTATTTACAACTTTTGAGTTTTACTCTCAGTTTTAAAAAGTTTAGGAAAAGCTCAATCTGAAATCAACTCAGTATAAAAAGATGTTATGGAATCAGCTGCCTAAATGCCGTTCCTAGAGTCCTTGCCCATCCAGGAGGTACCTAGCTATTTGCATATAGGTAATTATTAAGTAGCACAGTATCTGCTCATCTTACATACACTGAAGGCTATTGAAACGGGCAGAGAGTCATCACACTATTCTCAAGCTAAGGTGTCAGAAGAATTGTTACTATAGATTCCAATTCAGTAACATGCTCTGTATGACCTAACGAAACATACAAAAAGGTTATTTATCTCTTCTGGATGACAAAATCATGTGTTAATCTAGAGTGTATCCACATGTTTTAATGGAACAGCAATTAAAGGACATAGTATGCTTATGTTTCAACTTTTCCATAAGTTCCTTCTGGAGGCCTGTAATACTTTGGGAAAGCCTTCAGTTGCAGGGAATTAAATGCATACTTGCGACATCCAACATTCTTCATTGTATTTTCTCGGCGACAACCCTCACTGGGGAAAAAAACAAGCACAAAAAATGACAGCAGTAAAAGGGAAAAAAAAAAGAAAAAAGACTTAAACTAAGATGAAATGAACTGGTTATTTTATAGCATTAAAATAAAGTTGGTTATATTTAATGAGCGTTTAATTAATTTGCCACTGCAAATATTAAAAGAGATGATTCATCATACAATGCCAGTAAGAAGCACACAGAATGGACACAAGCTATGTCTGATTGCTAGTTTTGCATTTCTAGAAAGCAGCAGCACATCTACTGAAAAGGCTCTTTCACGCCGGTTTCATGTATTTCAAGGTACACTGTTGTGGAGTTCACATGCCATTCACTGCACAAGGGATCCCAAGGGATTGCTTAAAAGCAGTTCTGCTAATTTATTAACACATAAAGCTGAAAACCAAAACCTGCTGATCTCTCTATAAGAGCTTTAAAGTAATTTTATTGTTCCCTGTATGTCAGTAATATAAGTACTTACTTAAAGATTAGAGCTGATACAAAAATAATGTATGCCTTTCTAGTTATCTCTGCATGCATAAATGGACATGAAAACCAAAGCAATCTAAAAAAATCCTAATCGTGAAATAGCAGTGCAAAAAAGACTGGCTGCATCATCACCCGAAAGAAACAAAGCTGTGCAGAATTTAATTTTCACCCAGTATTTTGGTGCAACCGCCCCACATTACAAAGAGGTTCTGTGCTACAATAGAAAACTACTCCAGTTATAAGGCTTCTTTACACTTGTGTAAATCTAATCCACAGTTCCTTTGATTATATCCAAAAAACAGACATACAAAGAGGAAGCACTATCTTTTAAATATATATTATAAATCAATTTAGGCTTGCAGGAGAATAATTATCCCTGATTGAGGACTGGAACCTAAACAATGACAACTAGACCTTCATGGTAAAGTGTACAGTACAGCATCCTACAATGGAAATGTCAGATTAGTCCTGCCTTGGAGGCAGCTGCAGCATCTACCAGGTAAGCTGTGATCATCTGATTCAAAAGGAGGGTTTGGATTCTAGTTCAGTTTGAAAGCTCTCATGCTCTTACAGACCTCACCATTCTTCTAATTTTGGTTCATGGAAACTGGCACAGAACTGTGTTCTGTATGTAACACCTAGTTTAACTTCATAAAATACAGTAATTTTTTTTTCTTTAAGGAATAGTTTAACTAAGTTTGAAATTCATCTCTGGAGCACATTCTGTGCTTGCCTTTTATAGAATGGATCATCTGTGATGACACTGTTTTTCTGGCACCGGTTTGTGTTTCACAAAACTCCCCCGACGGCTCTTGCAGCCAAATAGATACATCAAAAGTTTGCACAACTCATACTTCAGAGAACTAATAAAAGCAGTAAGTTTAACTAGCAAATATGTGATGCTAGGTGAGCATTTTAACTGCAAAGTGAATCATTCACTTCATATCACATTTCACTGCATCTGGTTATTGCATGTGTCCCTCATGGCACAGATACAGTGACAAGGATTTATTTCCCACATTTCACATGGCATCTTCCTTCTCTTGGAAGCACATAAGGAGGATGCACTACTGCATCTTAAATCTGAATGCCTTAACAAAAGCACAGACCAGGCCCCAAAAGGAAAAAAAAAAAACCAAATTTGTCCCCATTGAAATTAAAAAGAAAAAACCTACATTTTTTCCAAGAAGCCTGGGCTTCATTCCAAACAGTTTTAAGGTGGTCTTACTGCAATCCTAGTGGTAATCATGAGCAGCACCTTCATACTTTAAACAGATTCATAATCTCAGGGAGCTCAGTGGATGTGCCTGCCACCAGAGTGTGGCTGGACCCTGGAACAGCTGCCCAGGGAGGTGTTTGTGGCCCCAAGCCTGCCAGAGTGCAAGAAATTATGGTCAGCACTCTCAGGCACAGCCTGTGGCTATCCTGTGCCAAGCCAGGAACTGATCCTTGACCCTTCCAACTCAGGATATTCTGTGATTCTAAAGTTACTTTCACATCTGGTTAGACTGAACCCAAGACACTCCCCATACTGCAAAATCAAGGCCAAAGTCCAACCTGACAACTGCTCACTTTGTAAAAAGGTAGACTGGGGCACCCCCAGCAGACAAACCAATGCTAATCATAAAGAACAGATGATTTCTGTGGAGACACAGCAGCATCAGGTATCAGCACAGCACAGGGATGTGTCCCAAACCACCACAGCATGATAAACCTCAACAGCAGTAAGGATGCACCAATGTACTGAAACTAAAAATCAATATGATATGTGCTTTATATATATAGATAAACATATATGTCTTTGTGGTGGTTTTTTGTGGTTTTTTTTTCTTTTAAAAACAAAATTGGAAGAATAGTGAGGAAAAATATTAAGAGATAGTGTACTGCACAGTCTGATTTCATGAAGACACAAATATAACCACACACTTTTTTTTTTTAGTTAGAATAATTAAATCCAAATTTAGGATTTAATTCTGATTTTCATTCTAACTGTGCTTTTTTGGTTTTTTTTGGTTTTTTTATTTCAGCATATTTCTCCCAGCAGCTCTTGATTCCATTAAAATTTATAATAAAAGCTAAAGCTATCTATATTTTTTGAGCAAGTTAATATAGAAAATACAAATCACAGTACTAGTTCTCCTCAGAAGCCCAATGTCATCTCAGGCACCAAGCGAAGTGAAACCCCTTATGAAGTTATCAAACTACATTAAATGAGGTTAGTTTTTTTATCAGCTATTGCTATTGACAAGCTCTGCCAGATCACAGCATCAACAAAATCTTTCCATTTAAATAGGCCTCCCCTAGTTTGATGTTATATATAAATGATGATCAAATTTCATCTGCAATTACTCTGCATCACTAAACTAGGAAGCCACTTCATCCTCACCACTTAAATAAATGCTAACTTACCATTGCTCGCTTATCACTAAGCCACTATCAGCATCATAATTTATTAAAGCTGTGCAACGCTTAAAAATGGAAGTAACAGTAATATTTAGTCTAATGTAATTAAAATAAAGCCCAGTGGAAAACCTGAAACCCACCTACTAAAGGAGTTAACTGATACCTCCTACTTCTTGCCTGAAAATTAAAGACCATTATCTTTAACTTCTAGGATGCCCCTATTTCACAGTAAGTTCTATAACAGAGCACCTAAAATAGATAATGGATCATTAGCAGGCTAATACCAGTCACATCCCCTTCCTAACCACAAGTTTCATTTTCCTCATGTCTTTAATACATTGCAAAATGCAGATCTACAAATAGAATGAAATAATTCTGCATGCAGCACACTGCAAGTTGTTTTATGAGTGTTTTCTAGTCTATTAGAATATATTTAACCATGAGAAAGGAACAAGACTATGTTTCTACAAACTGTTCAATAATGTAATTTGGATATTATGCTTTGAAATGAAAGTATAAATTTGTTACTTCTTTAAATAAATTTCTTACAATTTCTTATAAACCCCACCCATGTTTTTATTTTTCTCTTCGTACCTCGTAAAAATGAAAGGCAAGATTAGCATACACCTTAAATATACAAAAAGATACAAATTCTTTTCAGACAGAGTTCCTTTCTCTGGAATACATGAAACAAGTAACACAAAACTGTATTTGGTAAGAGATCTTCAGGCCGGCTAAAGTAAAGAGGTAACAGGCCAATGTCAGACTATGTTACAAGCACTGAAAGCAGAACAATAATTTAAAGTTTCAATACAACTGTTTTTGATAAAATAATTTGATGTATATTTACAGTTTAGTACAATAGAAACGTAAAATTGTAAGGCATAATAATAATTCTTGGCAGACAATGCTATGACACATTCCTTTGTCCAGCAGGTACCAAGTGGCAATACACATTCAAGCACTTTTTTGTTTTTGTGGGTTTTGTTGTTTTTCTTGTTTTTCTTTTTTCTTTCTTTTTTTTTTGGTTTTTTTTTGTTTGTTTGTTTGTTTGTTTGTTTTTGAACTCTATCTTCACTTGCAACGTAATCTGGCCACCAGGTACGCTATGCTCAGAAACAGCCACACAATCAGTAAATTGGGGCTGAGAGCTAGTAAAGGAATAGAGTAGAGGAGGCTGGGATCTAGTCTGAAATCTCGGATGGGCACCAAGCCACTCAAGTTCTTCTGGGTGACTATCTCCCGTGTTCCAATGCTGTGAAAAGGAAGAAGTTTGGGAAGAGGGAAAATAAAACAGAACGGAAGACAGACATGCAAATGGATGGATAAAAAGAGATGGCAACACAAAGCGGTCAAGAAAATGAAAAAACATGGAAGAACGCACAACAGAACCAGAAGATGAAGTAAAGAAAGAGTGGAAAAACATCTCAAAAATATGTATCAGTACAATTATAAAAATAAGGAGAGGGAAAGAGAATAAAAGAGAAAAATAAGAAAGAAGTACTGTAGTCTAGTGAAAATAAACACATGTAGGTTGAACATTAATGGTTTTCCATGTTCATTCTTTCAGATTACCAAGCAATAATACCCCATGCTGCTCTGCCATGCTTTGGCATGCTGCAAAGAAGTGGAGCTCTGAAAAGCAAGCTGAACATGAATAACCATTGTAGTATTTGACCCTTTCAAACATCTTTCCATGTGGGCTGGAGTGATTTAATTTAACCTCTTAACTACCTGTCCAACACCTTAATTAAAAAAAAAAAACAAAAAAACCCACCCACCTATTTTTCTGCTTGGACATGAATTCAAGGGTATATATAGGCTTTTTGCTGAAGACTGGCTGCAAAGCCCATCTCATTGTGCACCCACTCCTTACACTGAGCACCAAAGGCTACAGTGGAGAACAGCTCCCCAGGTAGCCTGGTTGACTTTGTAGTGTGGTCTTCAAGTCTGGATCACTCTCATACCCTGAGCACTCCAACTCTATTTTTAGTACACAAAGCAACAACTAAATGACCAAGAAGAACAGAGGGATGGAGCACCTCTCCTACAAGGAAAGGCTGAGAGAACTGGGTTTGGTCAGCCTGGAAAAGGCTTAGGGGAGACTGTATTGCAGCCTTCCAGTGCTAGAAGGGAGCATACAGGAAAGAGGGAGAGAGATTATTTACAAGAGCATGTAGTGACAGGACAAGGGGGAATATGCTAAAAGGGAAAGAGAACACGTTTAGATTAGATATAAGGAAAAAATTCTTTATTCTGAGGCTGGTGAGGCAGCCAGGGAAGTTTATCCCTGGGAGTGTTCAAGGCCAGGCTGGATGGGGCTTTGAGCAATCTGGTCTAAGGTTCAATTGAATGTGTCCCTGTCCATGGCAGGGTTGTTTGAACTAGATCCTCTTCAAGGTCCCTTTCAACTCAAACAATTCTATGATTCTGTAATTCTAAATGCAATCTGTAAGCCTGATGCTGTTCGAACTTGTGCACTTGCTCCATCCATAACCTTGATGGTTGAGTAGCAGGGTTATGTAAGCATCAGACAATGTCCTGCAAGGAATCAGACACACCCTGGAGGTGCTGAAAAAGAGCATTCAGATGCTGGTGACACATCAAGTCAAATGGAATTAGGTGGGCAAGGAACTAAACCAACTGTATGTCTTATTTGGATTTGATCCAAATTGGTCATGAAGACATGTTTTCACTCCTGGTGCCTACAGTGGACAAGGCTAGATTGAATCTGTGATGCCAACAAATCCCAATTTCTTTGTAGCAGTGGGGAGAGTGTGTGTGTGATCAGGAGAATCAGCCAGTGGAAACCTAGTGTTTACTGGAAAGTGGTGGATAAAGGCTCAATGAAATGGCCTGGAGGAAGAAAAGTGTTTTAGAATATAGAGAAAATGTACAACAATGGGAGAGGTAAAGAAGAAAGGCTAAAAATGCTAAGTTGGCATTATGAACACCACATGCCACATCTCCACCATTAAAAATTAATATCATGCTGCTCAATTTTACATAAAGACATATACACAGACACATATGGTGGGAATGGAGGCAAGAGCTGGAAAGTGCATTCCTTGTCACTGTTGGCCCCATAAAGATGCTTCCCCCTGACAGGTGAAAAGTCACCTTTTGGAAATATCAAATATTCCAAATTGTACAGGGTCTTAAATCAAAACATTGATCAGCAGACTAGCTCTAGGGTTAGGAGACAGAGCAATTTCCCTTCTACTTTAGCTTGCATATGGGAATTCTCTCTGTGAGGAGAGGCCAGGGCTGGACACTGCTGGCTCCAGCCAGCTTCAGTGACCCACTGCAGGCACAGCTGAGTCCTCAGCCATGCTGGTGCCTCGGGGAAGGAGTGTGTGAGAAAAGGCAAAACACTCCATGGCATTGAAGAGTGATGGGAAAAGATCTGAGAAAGAGCCCTGTGAGCACCAAAGTCAGGGAAGGAGAGGAGAAAGAGCTGAAGCAGTCTCCCCTGCAGTTGTAGAGAGGAACTGTCCACACTGCAGCCCATGGAGGACCCACAGTGCAGCAGATGAATATTTACTGAAGGAAACTGGAGACCATGGAGAGCCCATGCAGGAGCAGGTTCATCCTGAAGGACTGCAGCCCACGGGAAGGACCCACACTGGAGAGGAGGAAGAGTGCAAGTAGGAAGGAGCAGAGGAGACTGTTATGGACTGGCTGCAAATCCCTGTTCCACATCCACTGTGCATTACTCCGCATGGGGAGGAGGTAGAAGAGCTGAGAAAGAAGCAGTGGAAAACTTTGGCCTGGGACAAGAAGGGAGGTGGTAGGCAAGGTTCTCTAATTTTTGTCTTTATTTCTTAACATCTCCAATCCATTGGGAAGAAATAAAAATTTTTTCTCTGAGTCTGGTTTGCCAGTTTTGTATCAGTAACTGGCAAGGGATTTCCCTGTCTTTATTTCATGAGCTTTTTCACATATTTTTTCTTCCTGTCCTGTTGGGGCAAGGTAGTGAACAGTTGGGTGGGCATCTGCCAAGTGGTCTAGCTTAACTCAGTATGATTTTATTCTTAAAGCAGGTCAATCAGTGAAGAAATCCAACAAAGCTTGTTATCATAGCTGTTTTATTGCAGTGAGTGGTCATACCCAGACATGACTCCTGGGACTTTATTATGTAATCCTTTTAGTCAGCACCATGGTGATTTTCCTCACCTCATTTCCAGCTGCTTTTCAAGAGCCCCTGTCAGAGATGGCTCTTCTCTGTTGGCTAAATTGCTTGTGTTGCACCTTCCTAATTAATTTCATTTAATGAAAATGAGCTGGGCTACCCAAAACATGTAAAGGATTTTGCTACCCAGAATGATCTTGACTGAAACTGCCTTGGAGCATATTCCCACGAACAGCTCCACTGGCATTTCTGACAAGACAGAAATCTGGTAGGAAGAGGGAGGGCAGGGAGTCAAAGATCTAGTGGGGAGCGTGGGCTGCAGATGGAAGAGGCTACCTGAGCCAGCTGGACTTTGACTCTTGTTCTGCTGGTCAGGTAGCCATGTCCTCTTAGCTTGGACTTCCAGTCATATCATCATGATTTTACTATTTGTGAGCTGGGAGTTACTGTGTGTTTGATTTGGGACTGGAAAAGCTGTAACTTATTTACAGAAAATGACTTTATTGTAACAGGGTATTTGTTTCTAAGGTGAAAGCCACGAACTTGTATCTGTAAATTTCTACAAGAATATAGAACATTCAATGTTCCCTCCCTGATTTCCCTGCTCATTGAACATAATTATCACAGACACATAATTATCACAAGACTAGGAAAGAAGGGAAGTCCCTGGGGACAAGTAAGTGGGAACTAACACTTCTGAAGACCAACATCAAATGGAAGAAGACGATGCTTTCTTAATTTTTTAAGACTGGTATAAGCAAGGACGCTTTTCTTCTCTGGAAAGTTGTCAGTAAAGAAGAGATTAAACACTTTGAGTCTCGCAGATTACTAGTACTTCTTCCCTGTCCTTCCAAATGCCTCAGAAACTTCAAAAGTCTTTAAGAATGAACCAAACATTCCTTTTCCAGTACACTTAAATAGAAGACCCAAGTTAATAGAACAAAACCAAGCTTTCTGAATGCCCTGGAAGCAATTTGGGCACAATTTTCTTTCTTATTCTGTACCTGTTGTTTAGGTCAGGTCAAACTGTCCAGGCTGAAATGGGATTTGGTGGAGTTGGACTCCTACACATTTGTTCCATAATCCTGTTTCTCTCATTAAGCTTTATTAATTCTGTGTCATTGTTCCTGAGTGGAATTAACAAATAATTCTAAAAACATGACCACATATCCCAAAGAGCAATAAGATGTGAGGAAGAGTGATGGGCTTGAAGAATGATCTAATCTTGGTTTTCTGTCTGGACTAGTCAGTATTTGTCCTGTACAATCTCTCTTAGTCAAAGATTTAACAGAAGAAAAAGTCAAGTCCTTCACCTGCCAGAGCAAGTCCCTGATGTTGGTAGAACACTCAAGCCAAAGGTTCTGATTAAATTGGCCCTCTTTCAATATCCCTGAGTAGGTCAACACAAAGCAGTATTTTTCTTGGGTCAGTATTTTATCTGATCCTGTGTTATATTAAATTGGTAGACTGAAGGACCAAAACAATGTTATTGTTAGCCTCTCTCTCTCTATTGTGTCCACAATTGCATTAAAAACCCAGTGACCCAGTAAAGAATTTGAAGAAAGTAACAAGGTTACCAGTATTTCTCCTAGTTGGTTTTATTCTTATTAAATACACAACTGTGAAACTGTGTAACAGTTTCAGATGTCTATGTCAACAAGTGGCACAATTTAAATAAAGATGTTTGAGAACCACTTAGTCCATTTCAAGTTAGTAAATTCTCCCTCACAAAGCTGTTTCAAGTTTTGTTTCCAATATCAAGGTTTAAGTAGTTTCTGAGTGCACTTTTCATGTACTGTACTAACTCTGTGACAATGTAGCAAAAAGTGCAGCAAAAAATTGAAAATAAAAAAGTCCAGTGCCACCCAATTAGATGTATAAACCCCCAAATTACTAGTGTAAGAGGCTGCAAGTGTTATTATATGAGACATTTTTCTTCTAGGTAACTGAAGAGTAAGAAAGGGTCAAACAGCAAAAACATACAGAAAGGATAAGAGAATTGAACACTCTAGAGAATTCGGTGAAAAGACACACAGTACAGTACATTTGATAAGAGTGAATGTTGAAAAACAGGACTGAACAGCATTGTTGAACTACATTGATAAAGACTAAAGTTAGATTTCTTATCCTTTCTTTTGGTATGTGACTTACGGAGTTTTCCAGCAGTGCTTGAAACAAGGCATTGAACAACAGTAAACAGATTTTTTTTTTTAAGTACAGTACTTAATTCTGCAAACATCTCTGCTGCTTCAGAATACAGAACATCATTATTTTGATATGACAACAGCACACTGACACATTGTGATGAAATTTGGTTGCTATATAGTGTGAAACACTCATACTGACAGTTCACCCAGTGAGCAGTGTTTCACTGCTAAAGGATACACTGGCAAACCAGTGCAAACTGCAGGTGTCTGTGTTTCAAAGAATAAAAACAAGTCATCCCTGAGTAATCTCCCTGATCTAGAACTAAGAAACCTAGTGCTATGACAGTTCAGGTAAAGTCATCATTAAACAACTTTCAAAGAAGCACCAGTTTCCTGTTCTGGAAGTTCAGCATTAATGGAAAACATATTTTTACATGCTTGTCTGAAAACTCCTAATTTTCTACTGAAAACTCAAGCCCATCTGATATAAATCTGGTAAGAACCAGCTTTAGCATATGCAACTCACATGCACAGGAGGGATGAATTCTAGCAGTCAGTTTTACAGTTTCCTGACTTTAGCTTACTTTTTTTTTTCTTTTGATGGAAACAGAGACCACCACTCCTCTGCAGTTTGCATGGTTCATTATTTAGGAATAAGTAATGTGGTCAAACTCTTACCTCCTCATACACTCCAGAGCCTGAGTGAAGACCTGTGGGGCCATTCCATGCTCATGCTGTAGGATCAAACACTGCTCCAAGGTGATGGACATGGCAGTCCTATCCTTGGCACTCTTACAGCTCGTGAACCGAACGCCGTTGAGTCTGCGGCATATCTGGAAATGGGACAGACAACCCATCACTCCCTCTACAGGCATAACTTCCTGCCAGAGACAACACCTGTACTTCCCCTCAGACAGACACAAATGTTCTCTAGGGCTTCAATGTCAAAGTTTGGCATGTTTGAGGGAGCAGAACTTCATTGTATGAGTTGAGGGAAAAATCTGACACAGAAAATACATTTTCTTTCCCCATGTCCCATTCTAGAGGAGGTCTAGCCTGGCAGCATTTGCAAGCAACATGCAAGCAAATGAAGAAATTCAAACATTCCAGTAATAAAAAAGAGGCAAATACATATGAATACAGAAAATCAGCTGAACTATGCAGAGATGGTTAGATGAATAAATACCTCAGCAGCTTGCCAAAGGATATCAACATTCTTGTTTTTCCTTGCATGAACATTTTGTCCCAGAAATCTTAACAGTTCAGGCAGGCACGTCTGACTACGAGATCGAGGTAGACCTATAAAACAAACAAAATCAACTCCACTTATTCATCTGTATTCAACAGATCTTTTACAAAGTGTTTCTATATGCCTGTTGCAAACACATTTGTGTTTTCTTGAAACTAGAACAATTATTCAAGTTCTGATTTACTTAGTACCATCAACAAAACAAATTCATGCTTAATTAAACTCAATTGGAAATATAAATTCCAGTTATTTAAAACTTCGGTAACTCATAATCTAATAGCAGTATGATAAGAGAATGAACAAAGGGAGCAAAATTGGTATAGTCTTTTCATTTCTGTGCCACAGATTTGACAGGAGAACATGCATGTCTTCAGAGAAACTCTGAAGATGTTTTATACTCTGCTTACATTTTTGATTTTAAATTTGAAAGCTGGTCAGCTTTCAGTTACAAGAAACACCCACAGGACAGCACATTGTCATGATCTGTTTATTAATATTTCACTAAGTGGAAATAAAGTAGTTGAAATTTTTCAGAGCACCTTCAGTACTCATCTTCTGCATTCAAATTGTTGCACATCATCTCTTACATATGGAGCAGGATACTCCAGACAATCAATTACAAGTATTCAATAAGTTGTCTTTTTTCTTGTTTAATTTTTTTTAAGGAGTAACCACAGAGAACACCAACTAAAGTTGTGACTGAATAAATACAGAGGTATGCACTGTAAGAGATGACATTGTGACAAAAAGAATCCTACCTGAGTGACATCTGAGGCTTTATTTTAGGCCTACTTCTCACAGCAAATGGTATGTTGGGCTAACCTGATCTCCTAGAGGAAGGTGACCTGCTGAGCAGATGGGGGAAGGCTGTGGACATTGTTTACCTGGACCTTGGCAAAGCCTTTATTGCTGCTTCCCACAGCATTCTCCAGGACGAAGTGCTCATGGCTTGGTGGGACATTCTGTTCACTGGGTAAAACAACCCAGCTGGATGGCCAGGCCCACAGGGTGCTGGTGAATGGTGCTACATCCACCAGTGTGGCTCCCCAGGGCTCAGTTCTGCAGCCAGTCCTGTTTAAAACCCTTATCACTGATCAGGAGGAGAGGATCAAGTACACCCTCACTCAGTGGCACCAAGCTGGGCAGCAGTTCTGACCTACTGGAGGGCAGGAAAGCTCTACAGAGGAATCTGGACAGGCTGGATGAATAAGCCAAGGCCACTTTTGTGGGGTTCAGCACAACCAAGTGCCAGCTCCTGCCCTTGGGTCACAACAACCCCAGGCAGTGCTACAGGCTGGGGGCAGAGAGGCTGGGAAGCTGCCCAGTGGAAAAGGACCTGGGGGTGCTGGTCCACAGCAGCTGAACATGAGCCAGCAGTGCCCAGGTGGCCAAGAAGGCCAATGGTGACCTGGCCTGTGTCAGCAATGGTGTGGCCAGCAGGAGCAGGCAGGGATTGTCCCCCTGTGCTCAGCACTGGTGAGGCCACACCTCAAATCCTGTGCTCATTTCTGGGCCCTTCACTGTAAGGAGGACATCCAGGTGCTGAAACCTCAGTGGTGCCCAGAGAAGGGCAACAGAGCTGGTGAAGGGTATGGAGCACAAGTCTTATGAGAAGCAGCTGAAGGAGCAGCTGTTTAGCCTGGAGAAAAGGGGGCTCAGGGGACCTTACTGCTCTCCACAACCACCTGAAAGCCAGCAGGGCTCTTCTCCCAGGCAACCAGCAACAGGATAGGAGAAAATGGCCTCAAGCTTCACCAGGGGAGATTTAGATTGGATGTTGGGAAAAATTTTGTTACTGAAAGGGTTGTCAAGCACTGGAACAAGCTGCTCAGGGAAGTGGTTGAGTCAGCATCCCTGGAGATATTTAAAAAATGTGGAGATGTGGCACTTGGGGAGATGGTTTAGGGGTGGACTTAGCAGTGCTGGGGAAACCGTTGGACTTGATGATCTTAAAGACCTTTTCCAACCTAAAGAATTCTACATTTCTATTCTATAATTAACAGTACCGTGCCTGTCCTGGGCTGGGCTGTTTGAACTCTACATCTAGAAAGAAACCAATACCTGTAAACAAAAAGAGGGCACAGGCCATCTCCTCTTTCTAAAGACAGGGAGAGCTACAGAACAAGCACAAGGAGCTAGTGAAGCTAAGACTAATTTCTTATAAATTCTGCAGAGTTTAGAACTAATAACACAGGCACATGGACAGTGGATAAGGAATCAACTTTTCTTGTGTAGTGCTCCTGAAGAGAAAATTTCCTGCAATCTTCCAGCAGATAGTTCACTGGGACCTTTGTCCCCTAGAATGATCTGTTTGTTTTCCCTTTTGCCTCTACCTACCACAGACTACATAACTAGGCATAATCACCTGGTTTGCAGTTAAATGTAAAATGCTATTCTCCCTTGATAAGGGTTCACAGAAAAGCGCACTTCATTTTGTATATCCTAAATTATCACAACTTTCAGGAGAAAAAAAAAAGAAGCCAAAAGATGATTGGATCAAACATAAGAAATCTGGGAAAGAGGGAAGAGACTGAAATAAAAATAAAAAAAGGCAAGCAAATAAAAAGGAGAGGAAGGAGCTGAATGGGAATTATTATTATAAAAGACTAGACAGAGACATGAACAAAATTCATTTTAAACTGGTTAATTTTTGAATCATACAAGAAAATCTGATGCTAGACTACTATACAATAAAAAAATTAAACTTTGCAGCTAACATTCCAGAGAATTTTTTATGCAGCATTATGAATGTCTGAATGGAGGGAAGCTGGTTGTGCTCTCAGCTCTATCAAAAAAAATTCGAAGTAACCAAACTCGCAATAACACACTTTAACAGACAGAATTCTTACTATCCTGTTGCATGCTGTTGCATTTGTATTTCTGGAATAAAATTGTGACTGTAGAGCACATGAAATAACCTTAGAAGAGGTTTGATTGTAATAATAATGAATTGATGAATATTTTTGTAAATAACACTTATGGCCACTGCCTTCTCAACAAAACCCCAAGCAGTAACAAGCAAATTAAAAACCAGTAAAAATTAGGCATGTAGCTTTTGTTACTTTTCCAGGCTCTCTGTTGTTGGCTGCAGATGCAATAATTACAGGAAAGTGCCAAAGGAAAATCAGAGGGAAGTGACTGAGTTCCAAAAAACTGGCAGTTGCTCTCTGAGCAGGTTTTATTATAAGTGCAGAGAGCATCACCAAAAACTGCAGATAAAAGTGCTGCTGCTAGAACCTATCACTTTTATACCTTTACCTTACAACAATCTCACTGCCTAACTGGATGATTACACAGTACATAGTGCCACTTAGAGATGTAAAAGTAACCTTAAAAAGGAAAGTTAATCAGTCTGACCTTTAAGCCTCTTGAATCCACTCTACTCTAATCCATTCTACTAAAGAATTAAAACAGAATTGTATCATTTCTTGGAGGTTACTAAAGCTGGTGTACCATCAACATTTAAAAAAAAAAACAACATAAAGCAAACAAATGAAAAAATCAGCCTGAATTGTGCTGTTCAAGCAAATTTGTCATTAATTACAAAATACTTACAATCATCAGGCAAAACTTCCTTGAACTGCTCAAAATATGAATTCAACCTCACTAAGCTTTCCATGTTAATTATTTCTTGCAGTGAGGTGTCTCCAAACCTTTAAAAGGACAAAAAAGGAACAATTAAGCCCAAGGTAAAATGTTTCTCTTTCTTTGAAACAACTGCACTTGCCAATATGTCTACCAAAAAAACAGTTTAAAGATTCATCCCAAGAGTTCCCTAACCATTCAAATGCCAGGTGAAGTGTAACAGAGAATTTGTTGTAATGGTTCATTACAGAGAAAGAAAATATATGAGTATGAGGGGGAAAAGGGAAGGAAGGTATAAGAAAAATCTTGAAGAAAATAGTATTTGAAATTCTTTGGCTTTCATGTCTCTCTTTCAATATGAAATTCCTACCTGGCAAATTGTTTTACCTAAATTTAAACTTTTAATGATGGCTTAAGTAGCTTAGTTCATAAACTAATAATAACAACCATAACATCAGTAGATTGGACTGAGAATGTTGACTTCAGGTATGTAAATGAAAAATATGGCTCTAGGATTAATAAACATGAATGTAATAAATATGGTCAACAATGCCCCGATGCATCTTATCTAAATATATCCACACACACAGATGTACACACAGAGTGCTGACATCTGTAACTGTGCTAGTCATCTTGGGCTTCCTTTGTAGGCAACAGAGAACAGTAACTGCTGCAATGCTTTTGCTAAGACTTTTTCTCATTGTCCACCACCACAGTGCACACTCCAGCCTGGTACCAAGGCTGCTGTCACAACATGCATGTGCCTGGCTTCACAGGAGTGCTCCATTGGAGCAGTGCTCTGCCAATGTACTCTTTATAGGATGTGGCCATAACAGAGGGAATCTGCTGGCTCTTCCAGAACTGAGCAGTTTCCCTAGCAAATATAATTACATAATTATATTTTTTTCAGTTTTACAACAGCAGTGTTGCATTACATTAATACTGCAAGGGTATTTTAAAACAGAGGTGCACCTTGCCCATTATCCTGAATTTTGACAGTGACCAGGAGAGGGAGTCTCAGGGAGAGTGCAAAACCAAGACAGTAAATACACAGCAATACCCTGAATGATCTCAGCCTCTAGTGATCTATCACTCACAGAGGTCTTAAGTCACAAGGAGCACCTGTGTGCTAACTAGCCCTTGATAGATCTCCCATTGTAAATTCACATCTGAACCACATAAACCTGGACTAGTATCAAACTCATGAGGTAAGGAGCCTTACAGCTGTGTGGCACATTAAGAAGGACTTCTTTTTGTTTGGCATTTGGCAGATTCCTTTAGAAAAGTGCTCCCATGTTCATGTATTGGAGAAACTGAATCAGTCAGTTATGTAAGAGTGCAATTCCACATCAACATAGTTCCATTGCTGAACTGCCAGCAAGGCTGAGCCTGCCTGACTGGACACCTACTTCTCTGCTAGGGTTTGCTGCTCATTGATTCCCACGTTGAAAAGAACAGGCTGAACCCTCAGCAACATTCCACTTTGAATCTCACGCGGCAGCAAATCAAACAAGGCGCTTGGCAGAGGGATCCTCACGTTAAATCCATCACTGAAAAGAAATAAACAGCTGTGAGACATAAGGATGAAAAAGCTACATTCCAAGCATGTGTTATTTGTCTAAAGAGGGATAACACCTAGAAGATAATATAAACATTAAAAAACAACCATCAGTCAGAACTGACTCTGAGGAATTGCCACAACTTGCTTCTAGTCAGAAGATCTATTCTAGTTCAAAAACAAACCTGCAGCAACCTGTAATGGTGCATTTATATCCTCACAGACATTCACTTCAGCTCTACCAATCTCCTGGCAATGGCTGATTTTGCACTCCACATTAATACTGCAGTTCTTCTACAACTTGGGTAGAAAAAGCCAAATTTTAGCATGTTCCCACTCATGAGGAATAAAGTATATTTATTGTTTTTTACCGATTTCCAGTGATGACTGGCAGCATGTCAGTAGATGTATTTGATGTAGCCTGAGTTACTTTAAAGGTTACATTCCTCAAGTCCATGATTCCCAAACTCATGTCCTCCAGCATTGCCAGCTCCTCACCTAAATCCAAGAGGAAAAAGTGAATTGTAATTACTTGTTATGCACAACTTTCCTTTGTCAATTTGATGGCAACAATAGGCCAACATTCCATACAGAAGTTCCACAGATGAAGCAGTGCTGCAGCCCCGGTCTCCCCCCTTGACCTACAGACAATGTCATGGCTGATTTTTTGAGTTCAGTTTGTCATTAATTACAAAATACTTACAATCATCAGGCAAAACTTCCTTGAACTGCTCAAAATAACTTGGTGTTTTCAAGTTTAGAAAACACCAGTTATCTAGAACAGTCCAGACTACTGTTCTTTAAGTATTTTATATGCTGATTTTCCAAGTTAGGTGATGCTAATAAGTACTTCTCAGCATTGTCAGAGCCATGATATCCTTTGCACAATGTATTCTGGATTTGTCTAATAAAACATTCCCTAACCAGTATCCAGACAGCTTTGAGACACAGGAGTGAAACACTTCTGAGTGAAGTACTTTCCCTTTTTATATTCTCTCTTCAGTCTCACGTTGTGCTGCAAGACTACGGAAGTTTCAAGAAAACTCAAAAAGTGTATTTTGGGCACAGTTTCTCCCAGCTTACCAGAACTTTCATCCAATTATTTTCCCAAAAAAATCCCAAAGACCACTGTGATACATTTTAGTCTTTCTTAAACCTTTGACATTCTATTATAAAAGAAGTACATTTATCTTTTGGGAGAAATTCAAGTAAATGTGAAAAAAATCAGAGTTGTTAGATAATTAAGTACTTCAGCTATAATCTAGTTTTCCATTTTAGTTTTCAAAATAATTTTGTAGCTGAGCTGCAGATTGTCCAAACACTCAGATCCTGCTGTAGCAAATTTAATGCAGAATTTGCTGACACAACAGCTAATCCCACCCCCTGGCCCTGTGCCTTTACCATAAGTGCTCAGCAGGCTCTCAAACTGTGCCAGCAAGCCAATGGTGTAGAGTTGTCTTAGAAATCCATCATCATGCAGGCAGTTCCTCAGCTTGATAATGAATCCACAAATGAGAGCTGTCAGCTGTGAGAGAGGAAACAGACAAGAATGAAATGACTCAAAATAAAAAAGGTTCTTCAGCCCCAAACAAAAATCACAGCATGTATAAGAGGTGCAATAAAATCTGTCACACAGATACTCTTTTCCTTTAGACATCATTTTTTCCTTGCAGCTGAAGACAACCAACCAATGAAAACCCAAAACATTCATAAAATCAGATTCAGGGCACGCTGCCTTCATCTCACAAGCTGTCTCAAAATGGGGCTGCTGTAGATCTCACACTTTCTTGTTTTCTGAACACGATCACTTGTGGTAGGGTCTACAACTTATGAATTACAGAAGTTGCTCTTTAGAGAATTGGTTTAGTTTTAGACAGAAAAGCAACACAGCTAGTTCTAGGCCAAGAATTTTGATAGTATGAATAAATTACTGCTTTTCAAAAATTACATTTGAGAAAGCTTTAAAATGCAGTATCTGTTTGCATTATGCAGACTTAAACTCTGATGTTACAAGATATTCAGAACAAGATCCTGAGGATCTAGTCCTAAGATAAGTACTAAGTAGTACTACGTACTAATAGTACTAAGTACTATTATCTAAGATTAATGCTAGTCTTAATTCATTTTCCACAAAGGAATTTCCCAGGTGATGGCCATATACTAGGTATACAGGTGTATGACTTTGTTATAGAATTAAACAGAAGAGAATAAAGTTCTGATCATGATGGGTAAACATATTCAAAGATTTGAATTTTAAAATTATCTGCATTATGTGGTGGGTTTTATATGAGAAAATGCCCTGATTTTATCTCTATGAGATCACAAAATCAAAGAATCATTAAGGTTGGAAAACACCTCCAAGATCACCAAGTCCAACCCAGAACCACCCCCACGTACACCACTAAACCATGTCCTCAACTGCCATATCCACACATTTTTTGAACACTTCAGGGATGGTGATTCCACCACTTTCCTGGGCAGCCCACTCCAGGTCTTAACAACCACTTCCATGAAGAAATTTTTCCTAATACTCTAAATCTCCCCAGCACAACTTGAGGACATTTCCTCTCATCCTGTCACTTGCTTTACATTTTTGATATTACATTATCGGACTAAAGCCCCGTCAATGATGTCCAAGAAATAAATTGCTTAAAATAAATGAACAAGACCATGATTTCACAGGAAAGCAGACATAATACAAAGGTGTAGTGGGTAGAGGAATTTTTTTTCTGTGGAAGTTTTTTTAGTGCAGACACCTGCTAGTCAGTGTCTGACCCAAGAGATGCCAGCAGGTCCAGAAACAGAACTTCTGGGAAAAAAACCCAGAACTAATTTCTCTTCTTCTAGCTGGACTTCTGCTGGGTTTCTTATTGCAGAAAACAACAAAAGGTAACTGAGGGAGTACACCTGCTACTCACAGACCTTTTTGTCCCCCTGTCTCACACCTTACTTTTGCTTTGGCCTGGTGGCATTGGAAGGCAAAGGCTATTTCTGAAAACAGCAGTATATTTTAGTATACTAGTATTTTTACTAGTTCTGGAATAATTTTTGTTTTCAATAGTGAATGACTGTATATCCAAGGAGACACCTAATTTATGAATTGTCAAATGCACATAACCAGTAAGCACAGGATAGCACAGCTTGCGGGGGGAAATCAGTGTCGAACCAGGGAAGAGATCAGAAAAATTCTGGAAAGAGTAACCTTTCATATTCATAGAAACCCCACCCAATGTGGAAGTGAAATCAAATGATACATATGTGCTTGCTTACAGTCTGGCAGAAGACAACATCCCTGCGATACTGAAGGCTCAGGCAGAGCCCTATTGTCGGGGCACTGTCCTGCATTAACAAAAACACCATGGCTTTCTTGGCCTTGTCGCTCATCATGGCTACACAGTCAGTGAGTGTGGTCAGCAAGGGATAAAGAGCTTCACTCCATTCACCTGGTTCAAAGAAAAAAAGAAAATTAGCAGCAGTGGAAGCACTTTATTTGAAACAAACACACATTAAGAAGAAACTTCCTGTTGCAGGACAAATAATTCACATTTAGAACTCATTTTATTTTGGCTGGATGGTTATTCCCTGCTTTGTAATAATTAAGTAACCTTACAGTGTGGTTATTTGCATGAGGAAAATATGGAGAATTTGACTTTGTAAAGCTGTTATGACTTTCCAGGCCATGTAAAATTTACCAGAATTTGTGCCCACACAACAGGCTGTACAATAGCTGATTTGGAAATCATAACAGAAACATGAACAATTATATACAGAAGTGTATATAACTGCATGTTCGTATTCAAACAAACCCTTTCACTGCACATACATGGACAGACAGGAAGGAGTCCATTGTATTACAGAAATAGGGACCATCTGCTTAGCCATCTCTGTCAATGAGATTCCTCCCAAACACCCTGCCTTTTCAATCTCTAGCCTCATAGGAGTATCATTCAATTGCTTCACCACCTTATTGATCCTTATTGCACCTCAGTGAGGCAAGATGATGTTTCATCTCCTACTTGCAGCTAAGAATAATAAGGTGTGAGGTGAGAAATTAATGTAGGTACTCTTTTAAGTGTTTCCTGTCTCCTGAGCAGGTTTAAAGGCTTTAAGTTAGATAAGAAGAAATATTAAACATAGTGAATTAGATGGGAGTCATGCAGATTGTTGGAAGTACTCTGGAGCTTTTTCCACTGAAATACACAAGATACAACCCAGAGGGTTTCTGTTCAAGGTCCTGCACAGGAAGCATAGAAGTGAAACTGAGTTGTCAAAGACCTTCTCTTTTAAAAGGGCAGGACAATATGTTTTATTTTTTAAAAGCACCAGAGCTCACAAACAGCACTCACACAACTCCCTGCCTAGCTGGCTGTAGGAACAAGGCAATGTACAGACCAGAACCTGCATGAATGAGACACTTAAAGCCCCTGAAAGTAAATTGTTTGGGATTTTGATTCAGAGGCAGAACTAAGAGGCAGTAATAATAAATGTTCCTTTGATAACCAGCCAAAGAGGGGAACTCTGGAAGTCTGCTAACAGAAACATATCTGGCAAGACTAACAGAACTATCCTTTTGGCTTTTGTTCTATGTGGTAGATACATAACCTAACAAACTACACAAAGTTGTTTGACTCTGTTTCATTGCCTTAAATAAAGCAGGAAACATCAAAAGAACAGGCAAGGAATCACAGCTTATCTTTTAAATTCTATTAAATATTTATCTGAAAATTAGTCAGATGCCATAACATGGCCTTGTGAACACTTAGAAAGCAAAATACAGATGAAACTAACAGTGTTTCTTTTACTGCATTCAAGAGCTTTTCTGTAAGCAAATGAGAATAACAAGAACTGAAAATATTTTCCAGCACATCATCATCTCATTGACTGTATGTACATACATGTATATAGCTACTAACACAGCGAAGATTTAAAACTGTGTAGATATGCAGCCACAACTGTAGTGTGTCTGACAGCACTTCATTTTAAAGATATGTTTATCTTTGGTAATCACAAAGTACACTGGTAAAGATAACGCAATTATTAGATAGGTTTCTTTCTTCCAAAATTCACATACAAGGCAGGGACTCAACTGAGGTAGTGAGCAAAAATCCTCTGTGCTGTGTATTCTCTTGGTTTAAAATTCTGGCCATGAAAAAACAAACCCTTGTCAGTCTGCAAAGCTCTAAATGATTTTTGCTACCTACTTCACAGAAGTGTCACCTGTGCTCCTTTTTTTTTAGTCAGTGGCAGTTGTTATTAACAGTAAACAGGAATAAAATGAATTGCACTCCCCGTCTCAAATTAGGTTGGAACAAGGTAGGGGTGTTGGGAAGGCCAATGAGTTCACATAGTGAAATTTTGCTGACTGTATACTACTGCCCATTTCATAAAAAATAAGTGTCTTATTAAGAGAACCAAATACATAAAGCTTGTAGGCTGTAACATCAGGTGGGAAAAGTTCTTGCTTTTTTTGCCCTAAGGGTCTCTTCTCTAGAGCAATAAAAATATCATTAAAACAGCTGTCCTCCAAGGCCTTGAAAAGATATTTTAGTCTTTTCATATTAAGTACAGAGGGACAAGGACAGAAGAAAGAATGTTAACACTGGGATGAGACTCCTAAATTCTGTATCCTGAAACATGAGACTTGCAATCCCCAATACCACTTGGTGTGCACCTGTGGCCACAGCTCTCTTCACAGAGAGCAGCAGGCACAACCTGCCCAGGATTTTTCCTGGGGAAGGCAGTAAGAAAGCTCAGAGAAGAAAAACAATTCTTATCTTCACTTGCTGCATCTGTTGTTTGGCACATGTGGAATGTGTTATGGAGATGGTTTTTCAAAGAGGGATTTGTTAACTGGACTCTGGTGACGGGTGTTTGGATTAACTGACCAATTAGGTCAAAGCTGTGTTGTGACTGTCTGGAAAGGGTCACAGGTTTTTTCTTGAGTATAATATAGTATAGTTTAGTATAGTATAGTTTAATATAGTATAGTATGCAATATAACATAGTATAGCTTAAGAAAGCAATTGTTCAGTCTTCTGAAATCACTGGAGTCATTGCATGTTATTCCCTGGCTGGGGGTTGTCCTGAATCGATATGCACCCACAACAGAGATTTTCCATCAGCCTTGTTGACTCCTCCATGTTCTGCTCCACTTCTCATTCAGAAAGATCAGCTCAACAGCCCATGTGAAAGGGCATGTCTGAAATGCTAGACTCCCACAGACTTCAATGACATTTGAAACAGGCCTCAATCCACTGTCACCTATATCAGTTTGCTGAAACACATCAACTGGAGAAATCCAAGAGGCCCTGAACAAGCACTCTCCCATATCTGGACATGTGAAAGGACCAGATATACCCTGCACTCTTAGGAAATAACTGCTCAACAGCTTAGGTAACTCACGTGGTGTTGTAAAGCACTGCCATTTCAAAATGGTCCATCTTAAAGCAAGGCACTTGTTCAGTTAAGTATGAACAAACCCCTGCAGTTTTCAGAAGAAGCAGAAGCCATGAATGCACATACCTGGGGCAGATTCTTCCGGAGTAGGGCTGCAATCTGCACAGAAATGGAGGGGCAACATGCATGATTAAGGAGCAGCAACACAGTCTAAATACAAGCAACTCAAATGCTCAGTGCCAGGGTTCTCAAACATTTTCACTGAGTGAAGAGGAGCTAGGCAGAAATACTCTGTTGCCCCCAGGCATCGAGGGCATGGGCTGTCTCCTCCACTCCATTATTCTGATCAGAGGAACACCTGGAAGGGGACTTGGAAGAAAGCCAGTACCTGCTAGCTCAGAGGCTCGCTGTGGATTACCAGCAAGTGCACTGTCAACCCCCAGTGATCCACAGGGCACAATTTGAGAACCACTGGTTTACTGCAGTTACAGATTAAGCTGGCAGTAAGGCTGCTAAACAGAAGAGCAAAAGACCAGCAGTAAGTTCAATGCACTTAACAGAAAATTACATTAAGGCACCCACAATGTAAGAGTAATAAGAAACCAGTACTCTGCTACCTGAGTCAAAATTCCATTACACAATTTCTGAGATAATTAACAGAAATTTTAGAATGTATATTAAGGGCTGAAACCCCACCAGTGAAGTCTGTGAGTACTCCATACTCACTTCAGTGGGAGGACCAAGCTGTCAGATGAAAACATACTACAGGTCAGTGCTAACAGTAAAAAATAACATAAGCCCTGTTGTAGCAAGTCCTGCATTAATGAAAAGTAGTTTACTAAGCTAACAGGGTTTAAGCTTCTGTTGTTTATATCTAGATTCACTAGTCAATAAATTATAAATCTCAATATAACAACAGAAAATATAAAATTCAACAGTGTTGCATCAGGACAATCATCTCAGCTAGATAATCAGAAAAAACCTCTCAGTAAATTAAAATCCATCATGTTCACTAAAGAAACTGTATGTCCCTATGTGATTTTAGTAATGAATATCTAAGCCAATAACCTGAGTATATTTGAAAATATATTTTTTAAGTTTCCTTTCTACTATTTCAGGCAATATTTTCTTTCACAAACATTCATTTCTAGAGAGATCCTTCAATCAAATTTTACCGTCCCTCTCTTACCAGTTCTGGAACTATCTTGCTTGCCTTGGTTTTACATTGCTTTCAAAATAATTTCTGCTCTCTGCTCATTTATTCAAAACTCAGAATTACTGACTGGAAAAACCTTAATTCTTTCAATACACTAAACCAAAAATGTTGTGATTCTGAACTTAGAGAAAGGACCTTCTTTGTCCTTCAATTCTGCCCCAGGTTCTCAGTTAAACAGTAGGATTTTTTTTTCCCTATTTTGGAGGGACAGCAGGGAAAAGTTACAGAAATTCTTTGCACTAAAAAAAAATCTTCCGTAGGGTCACACAGCCAATTCCCCTTTTACAAGGCATAAGTGTCAAGATCCAGAGTAGATTTAAAAGTACCACTGAAAATGGTCAGGAAATATTAATCTAAGGTGTTTTCAGCATTGAATTTTATTGGGAAAAGGTTCTGACAAAACACAGATTTTTCCTGTGAATTTTTAATATTAAAAATCCACAACATTTAATCATTTATGTGAACGTGCATTGAAGGTTACTGATTAAACTTACATGTAAATACATATAAAACTTCATGTAAACTAGCTAGCAAACAAAAACATTTATAGGTATCAAACCAGTAAAAGGAATTTAGTCAAAGGTTGAAACAAAAACCTACACTCCTATTTTTTAATAATGCACAAAAATGTTAGTCTAATCTAGAAAAACATGGTTGTCTAAGATACTAAATAAAACTATAAGGTGACATGCAAAGCTACACCAAAAATATATTAACATTTTTTTTCACTTCATTTTTGCCTTTTTTTCTTAAGGCACTCCCTTCCACTGCAACACTAACAATGTGATGGACATGAAGTCACAGACACACATAAGAGACAAGGGCCATCAAACAAGAAGACAGAACAGGACAAAGGAAATGAGAACACAGATCAGGCATTTTAGAGCTTCACTTCGCCCACCTGCACTATTAAGTGGTGGCCAAATCAGAGTGACCACATGCAAAGAATGTCAGAGTAAGTCAAGTACATAAGTAAATAAAATAATTCTGAAATTTAATGCACAGCTGTCAAACTGTCAGTCTAAACTTATATGGATTTATTTCATTCACAGGCTCACAACCTTACACTGGGTTCAATACAGCACCCGCTTGAGCATAAAGTTTGAATGGATTATTCAACTAAGAACTTGCACTGCCAATTCCTACATTCCAGATACATGAGGTCTAAAATAATTGAGTGCCTCAGCACCACAATTTGGGTTAAAATTTGCTTTGAACTCTGTTAGGTTCATCTACATTCAGCTTAACTAATGGGACTGCTTGTGGTCTTCTCCCATGCTTTAGCAGTCCAGCTGGGACTATCGGTTTTTTAGTAGTGCCTGCACTTCTCTCATGTTTTATTTACCTATAATAAGCTTTGACTGCTGCAAAGAAGCTGAAGCCAACAGGAAAGCTAGCAGAGGTGGTGTCTGTCATGTGATAATCCATACAACTGTTTTACCAGCTTAAAACACACAGAGTGAAAACCAAGCACTACTGCCACCAATGGATTTGGAAATTATTTCAGTGGGACCAGGATTTCAAAATAAGTAATGGGCTTAGCAGCTCCCAGTACACCTAACAGCTCTTTCTGCCTGACATCACTGCTTAACACCACCACTGAGCTAAAAACACATGGAGGGCTGTAGGGGAGGCTTAGGAATGATGCCAGCACACAGGAAGAGAGCAGCAGTGAGAAGCAGTGTCTGGCATACGCACTTGTCTTGAGAGAATGGCATGCACAGGATGATGTGGATGAAGATGGTGGTGAGGATGATGAAGGTGGTGAGGATGATGAGGTCTCATTTAAATCTTCTGGATTTATCCAGTAGGCACGACTGTCCCGATTACCTTTCTTACTGGTACTGCTGACATCACACTGGAAAACGTCCTCACAGCTGTCACTCTGCAGGCGCTCCTTCTGGAGGAGTTTGTCCACTCGCTGTATGATACACTCCAGACTTTTGTCAACATTCAACCAAACTTTCTCCTGAAAAGAAAACAGTTCTTTCCCAGTTTAAAACCAAAAGAGATGTTGGGTAACAAATCCTTGGTGACATATTTCCTCCTGTGATTCTAGTCACAATTCCTCTGCAAACTTTCCTCTGGGCTATTGTGGTTGCATGTGTGCACACAGAAATTATGGGTATATAAATAACGTATACCAGGATGTCAACAATATTTAGTGACATGACTTGTGTAGTAAATTGCAAAGTTATTTTCTGTGTAAGCTTGCCAAACAATTTTAAGTTCCGCTTCCTGCCCTATTATTCTAATTTCTAGCTGGCACTATTGTTTATTCTTGAAATTCATGTTTGACATAATAATTGTATACAATCACACATCTTTTTTTCTCTGTAACTCAGCGAACAACAGATAAAATTACTGTATTATAGTAATGTCTAAATACTGAATTAGCTCTATTTGTATCTTATTACTGTGACTTTGACTCTAAGTCAAAGTATGCCAAAATAATTACAACTAGCAAGGATCCATTTCCAAAATGAATTGAATCTCTTTTAAATGTTGGTATTTCCCAATATTAATAATTGCTTTAATTAATCTTGACTATTTGTGAGATGTAGTTAACTTCTGTTTATTTAACAAAATGACAGAATTTACACAGTCTGATTCTCATTTTGATTGGCAGTGTGGTAAGGAAAATCATTTAAATACTTCATGCAAACAATTTTAAAATGCTGTTCATAATCAAAACAGTGACTGACTGCAAGTTCTAAATGTTTATGGTAGTATTTCTGTAAGAGGAAGCTTAAATTGCATAGCTAGCACCCACAAAATAACACTTTATTTGGGAAAGTGCAAAAGCCCATTGTAGTGGGGTCAGTTTTTCACTTGAAAAGCTATTTACTTTCCCTTGGGCCTCGCCTTAAAAATGCTGTGCACCTCCTCTAACAATTTCCAGCGTTTAGGAGACCCAGAATTATTTATTAAAGCCTGCTTGTATTCCCATCCCAAGGAGTAACTGCCTGCAGGATAGAGACAACACCTTTGCTAGCTGACCAGCACTTCCTACATACTCATCCTATGCATATCTGCTGAGCAGCTACAGAGCTTATTAAAAAAGAAAGTAAAAAGAACAAAGGATTTATCACTCCACTGTGCAAACATACCCATTCCTCTTCGTGCCAGTCCACCTGCAGAGATGATCGGCTATTTCTTCCTGTCCATCTGGCCACAAGTGTATCCTGATCATTCCTTAGCATCACTTGTTCCCCTTCTCCAGAGGTTGGAGATGCTTTTGAAGCTATATAGTCTGGCCTTGCAGCATTCAGTCCATGTATTGAATTTGCCAAGAGTTTGCAGTCACAAACTGTGACAAGTTGCCGGGTCTAAAAAGCAATAAAGCCCCACATTTTGAAAACTTTTCATTATTCCATACACAATTTATACTGTATTTTTTTTCAAGAAAGAAAAAAAAACAAGCAGTATTCTGTAAAAGAAATTATTGCTTGAAGGTGCCTTTAGAATACTTTTACAGAATGACCTTAAAAAATAGTATAGGATCCCAAAACACAAATGATACATTTCCAAAGTCTGTAGTACTATATTAGATTTGTAATTGTTGAAAATTTCACTGAGGAATGTGCAATTCATCTTTATTTGCACTTTATTCTCCATTTGATGAAAACTTAGAACAACGTACAGACACGTGTAGTGTCTGAGCACTGGAACAGGCTCCCCAGGGATGTGGTCACAGCACCAAGACAGAGTTCAAGAAGTGTTTGGACAATGCTCCCAGGTACATGGTGTGAGTCTGGGAGGGCAGGACCAGGATGATCCTGATTAGTCCCTTCCAACTCACTAAAGTCTGTATTAAATGATTTTTATGCCCCACACAACAGTTGCCACACCAGAAGAATCAGGTATCACCCCAATGATCCTGTCTGAAATCATAAAAAGACTTAAGAGGAGGGCTGAAGGTATAACCCACTAATCAATGCAATTTTTTCCCTGTCTTATTTAGCTGTGTTGCATTAAAGGATTTCTGTAAGCCATATGAATATAAAAATTATGTGGCCTGTGTGTCTACTAAAATAACAACAAACAAGACATGAAAATGTTATATATACATATAATCCAGTCGTAGAAAATCCCACAGAACAATTATACACTGCATTCATTTAGAATGAGTATTATAATAAATAATACATTTACATGAGATCCTATTATACAAAGTTGTATGTGTATCCCTTCCACTGGGACAATTTATGGCAAGCTGATTGGCCCCTACTGCTGTTTAGAGCCTTCAGATCTGCTTCAAGGACAGAAGAGGTCAGTAAAACTCTATTTGGGTTTTTTCTCCCTGTAAGATTATGGTCAGCTGTGGGTCCAGTCTGCTTTTTGTTAGCACACATCAAGAAATAACTTGTTTACATCACTATAATTCAAGCAAAGGTTGTGTCACCATTATTCCTTATTTCACCAGTGGAAAAATACAGAATTGTTTCATTAACTTTCACACAGTTGCTGCTGCTTGACAGATGACTCAGAACATTAAAAAAACCCCAGGTGGTTATGGAGAAAAGGATATAAAAGAAAGTGAAGAATGCACATTACTGCAATGTGATGAATGAATAGAGGGAATCCGAGGACATTGCACTTTCAAGAGGAGGTAAAGGCAAGAGTGTCAAAAGTAGGAGATACATAAATAAAACCAGGAACTTTTAAAGGCTTATATAACTTTTGTTTAGGTCTGTGCATGTTACAACACTCTACTGAAAAAGGTAAAACAGATGTTTCAAGAAAAACTACTAAAGGTACAGACAGAACAAGCAATACACTGTGCTTCAGCAGGAAAATGAATTATTCTCCTACCTTATCTGCTAGGATGGCAAGTGTTCTTTCAAGGCCATTAGCTGATCTATCCTTGGCAGCTCTTGAGAGCCTTTCTGCATAGTAACTGACTTGTGTTTTCAGGGTGTTGATTTGTGCAATAATTTCCTTTGCTCTAACGATGTCCTGTGGGATGTATATTATAGACTGGGAACCTGTTGAAGTGCTGAAAAAGAAAGACTGATTTTAGGGAGGAAATTGATCTAGAGGTACACACATTACAGTGGCATGCTGGGGAATTAATGGCAGACAACAAAAATGTACCTTAACTAGTGAACAACAGTGAAAGTCCAGTGGGCAATTGCACAGCAGGAACATGATGGTAGAGACTTCTCTGCCTTTAGTAAAAGTATTCAGATGCAGATTTACTAATCCCTAATACCAAGGGGCTGTGGGCAGAGTTTGCACACCAGAGGAACAGTTTTGCTGAGGAGAATGCGGGTGACAGATTTTGTCATCAGATACAGAATCACCTTTTGCAGAGACATCTTGCTCCATTCTCCCTCTCCTTACAACACAGATACTTCACTGAGGCCTTGCTTACAAACATGTTTTATCATGTATCTACTAACATCGTGAAAAGAAAATCTATGCTTCTTCTAACACAGAAATGCCACCCAGATCCATAATGCAAACACTGTTGTATTAACAAAGAAGTCCTTCTGCAAGTATATAATTTCCCCTATTGCAGACCAGAATCAAGTTACACCAGCAAAAGCAATTTTATGATATGTAAAAAATCAACATGCATCTTCAGGCTGATCCAAGGACACTGTTCTCTGTGTAGTTTCTGTTAGCACACACTTAAAATACTAAACTAGGGACAAACATATCTTTATATGGGGATAATGCAGCTACACTAGGACTGCTTATTTGACAGTGGAGAACAGATAATGCCCTTTTAAGTTTAGATGTCTATAGAAGTTGCTCATCCAATCCAAGACAGATTATCTACAACTGCTGGAGAAAGAATGGCACTTCCAAAGGGTAATTTGATCCCACTTGAGAGTCATTCACAAAAGGCTGCCTTTTAACTTAGAAAATTACTCTAAGTTGAAGTTGTGCTCTTAGTTAATTATTTGGAACCGACTGACAACGACTCCCTTTGTCAAGCAAAATGCTGGGTTCTTCCTTCCCAGTAGGAAAGGTACCAAATACCAGGCCTTACATCATCTCCAGCTGTGCCAAGTGCGATATCCATTCTTGACATGGCATCAAGCATGAGAGGACACCTATTGTGTATTACCTTAATTTTATTATGTTTTTTCAGTCATGAATGGCTTCAGCATAGTACAGCCCAGAAGAACCTACTGTTTGCACCCATCTCAGCACTGTTAAATGGAGACAGCCACGCTGAGAGGTTACATGGAGAGGAGTTTCTTTTTCAGGAACAGTTACCACAGACCATGACCTCCAAGGAGTGGGAACTCTTCTGCTACCCTTAGAGCAACGCTCTTCATTTCTGCAGAGTATCTGTGAGGTAGGACACGAGGGTTGCGTGGGGCACACTTCAGAATCATGTCACAATTCCAATTCTTGTCCCTTAAAGGATATTAAGGCAAGGGAGAAGCCTAATGCCAGTCTGCCTGAGCTCCATTACAAAAGAAAGATGAGGGATTTGTTATCAAAGGATGTAACTCAGAAGTGATTCTTGGAATAGTTTCCTTCTTTGTGATCTGCTCACCCACCCGAGGGGCAGAGAACAACCACTCCCCAGCACTGCTATCCCATACAGCAAATTAATCTCAGGTTTTAGAGCTTTCCCTGCACTTGATTTGTGCTTTCTAGTGACTGGTGATCTTAGTGACAATTCCTCTGAGCAATTTCTTTCCACAACAGTGTGGTTAACATGCATAAAGACATAGTTGGCAGAAAAGGCCATGCAGCATATTGAGATTGGATTTAGAATTATTATATTTTTAATCATAAACATTTGCTAGGATGACTGGGGAAAAAATTATGGTGTAAAGTTCACATATACTTACTTTCCAACCTGCAAATGCTTTTTCAAATGAACAGCTCTCATTGTATTATAGCAGCCAACTGTAACACAGACTTAAATTCTCAGTGAATTAGGGGTTCAACCTTAATAAGTGTAATTTAGAGCAGAATTTCTGCATTTTTGAACCACCCAGTAATTTCTGCTTTTGACAGCACTGAACACCACAAAATGAGAAAAAATATTATGTGAAAATGTTTAAATAAAGACATGGATTACAAAAAGACACAACATGCCAAATCTGTCACTATCAAGGTCTTAAAATACATAAAATTATCTTAATTATCTTCCATCACTGGCAGAAAAGTTTATTATTCCAGATAGTTTTCATTGGAAATAATGAAGGAAAAATATATAAAATCCTTGTGTTCTGATTTTCAGTTTTTTACCTTCTTATGGCCAGAGAGAGCCAGGAAGCTAGCTGTTCATTGCAAACAAACATTGCAGATGAAATGAAGTTCATTCACACATCATGTTCTACAAAGCAGCTACAATTACTTAGAGCACAATTAGGGATGCCATGATGCATGACATTAAAAAGCCCTGCACACTTTAAAACACACCAGATCTTTGCCAAACAAAAGGAAAATAAAACAACCCAGAGAACAGAAACCCTCTATAGAACTCTCAGAAACAGAAAACTCACCAACACTCCTCATAACTGCTACAAAAACAAAAAAACCAAAATAAAATTAGCAGATTGTTAGCAAATACCAAAAGCAGAAACAAAACAAAGTATGATTGGGGAAATAACTTATTTGAGTCATTTTTTCAATAAGGTGGGTATGTGAAGTTGTAAGCAAAAAAACACAGATTGCCAGATGACCATGAGTTGATCTGGGGAAATGCTGTGAATGCACCAAGCACAGTTATGCCAATGAAAGAAGAAGGGACTGAATGTAACAATGAAACTGAGGAGATGGATCTCAGTTCTACTATACTGGCTTTTTTGATAACAGAGATGTATTTAAAATGAATGTTGTTCTTCAAATGTTGAACCTGCAGTTTTCATGGACCCAGAAGGAACAGTTCTGAAAAGCTTAGAGGAAAAGTACTGGACAGAAATTAAACTCTCCAGTCAACTTAATTATTGGGTAAGGGGAAGAAGAACAAATCCACATGGGAAATTAGCTATTGCAGGAGCAAGAACCACTTCAGTGGCTACGCTGACAGAAGGAGGTTATTTCAAAGAGCAATAGTGGTATCAAAAGAACAGAAAGGGTGAGCCTGGCATACCAGTGTTCCTTAATTTTACAGTTTCCTCTAGTCCTGTCCTAGTGCACCCTGTCAGCCTGAATAATTACACTAGGTGCTTTTGCACCAATCTTTCTATCAGTACATATCTGACTGACATTCACAAGATGCTGCTATTCATTTCTCTACAGCCAAAATTAATCCTGCAGTTGATTCCCACGTCATTCCCTTGTCCTATCAGCTCCAAATCCTACTAATCCTTTCTTTGGAAGGGCATTATCAAGGTCTCCCTTTCCTTGACTACAACAACTCCTTGTCCTGCTACTCCTGTGTCTTAAATGCTCCATACAGTAGCAGAAGCAATGCAGACCCTGCAGCACTCTCCCTTCTCTGGGAGCTAGAGTGGGTGCCATGTTAGCAAATGTGACCTTCCCAGCTTCTGCAATTCCTACATCTCATACATCCACACTTCCACAGAGGTCACTGGGCAGTCCCTGTAGACCCCATTGGGGTCAAGTATCCTGCCTGTAGGGCAGAGGCCAAATTCAGAGGCCAAATCTGTGCATAAACCTTAGGCAATGCAGGAAAGCCTCCAGCAATAGTTTCAGAACTAAATCCATTTTGTCAACAAGGAATTTACTAATCAGGCACAGCAGGTTCCTACTAAAGAGAGTTCAGCAACAGGACCTGGAAGCTATGAGAGGGGTGAAAGTCTCCTGAAAAGAATGGGCTGAAGCATGATGTAGTGCAGCTGAAGATGTTCAGCAAATGTTCTGACCCATAGTTAGGCAGAACCCAAACTAACACCTAAAAAAACTAAATTAAATGAATCAACAAGTATTCAGAAAAATTAAAGTTTTCATGAAAAGACTCTTAGAAAGAGCCTGTCAGTAAACAAATAAACACAGTAATATAAGGAAAAAACTGTTTTCCCTCTCCTTCCTTGGAAAAAAAATGCACAGAAAAATATTCAATTAAAAATATTGTATAGTAGTACTATTGAATGAAATAAAAACAGAATGGAATGATTTTCCAAATAACTGAGCATGGACCAGGAGGAAAAGGCACAATAATAGCTGACACAATAGTATTTCTACTTACTGTTTCTTTGCCTCTTCAAATTTATGCAGTTTTTTCCTCAAGCCACCTGATTTAAAGCCTTGACAATGAGCTGCTGGTGCTCCTATGGTGACTATGTCGTAGTTCTGATCTGGGATGGACAAAAAGGACTTACAAATGAAAACCTGTCATCTTTAACGTGGACAAACAATTGTGTAAGCTCAAAATCTTTTCTGAAAGTAATTTCTGGAAAACTTTGCCAAGGTTTGAAAGACATGGAAAACTAAGTTGTTCTAGAGGCCCTGGAAATCCATCAAATACTTTTTCAGGTGAAAGACCCATACATGAATGCAGGTCCTTTGTTTCTTAATCTAGAAGATGGACTGTGAAAAAGAAGTATTGAACACTGGTCTGTATACAAAGCTTGCCATTACTGGAATCCCTCACATGGACACAAGTGTGTGTTCATGGTCACAGGGAATTACTGCTAAAAGAAGGGAAAGCCCATGTTATTTACGATGAAACAAGCTTGATGTGAAAAAATGTGATTTTGCATAGCCATACACGTTGATTCTGGAGAAAAAGCACACAAGCTTAACAAGAAACAACAGTCAGAACCTTTTTTATTCTACTGCAATTCAGAATGTCTGGAAGGGACGCAGCAGCTAAACCCAACTCTAGTACAAAGGCTAACTTGTGCCACCTAGAGTTCAGTTAACTCCAGAACCTAGTTTTGCCACCTGTAAAACAGCAATAATTATACTTCCATCTTTTCTTTTGTAAAGAGATTTGGAATCTGAGGATAGAAGGTGTTACAAAAATGCCAAGTAGCACTACTACAGTAGTTTGTAGAAACTTGGCTGTATGGTTGACAATGGAAATAAAAAGAAGTGGAGAGAAAAGTAACGAGACCAGTGAAGAAAGAGAAACTAATACCTGATCCTCCATCATCCTGGACTCTCATCCTCTGTATATGTAAATTTGTCGGAACAAACTCCAGTTTCTTATCAGCTTTCAAGCTACTGGCTTTAAATGAAGGACCTGAGAAATGCAAGACAAAAGTAAGCATAAAACTCTTCTCCTTGTGCCTATGCTAAAACATTCAAGAAGCTTTATTCATCATTTGCTATGTGCTGAAAGTAAAGCAGAGAAAATTAAAAAGAAAAAACAAACCAAAATTTTTCTGTTACTGTTCAAGCCTTTTCCTCTGCTTTCAGAGTTAGATAACAGGACAAACAGAATGGACAAATATTCCCTGGTAATTAGCAAACTCACAATAATTATTAATAAAGACAAAAAATATAATAGCATTGTTTACTCATCATAAAGCATTCTGGATTCCCAATTTCAGAGAAGCACTAACAACCCTGGTAGAGAAGAATCATGTTTTTATAAAAAAAAATCACCTTTATACTGGTGCAGGTCAGTCAGATTTTCCTGGTAAGTTAAAATAATTGTTTGGTACTGTGTAACTATTTGTCGACGAAGGCTTTCCCAACAAGGAGACAGTTCTCCCAATTCTTCTAGTTCACAAACCCTGGGGGGGAAAAAATGGGGAGGGAGGGAAAGAGAGGTGTTTATGTCCATAGTCCACTTGACCAAGAATGAGTTTCACATCTTATCAACAAAACACCATCCTCAGCTGACACACTCTCAATTTACCATGTCTGAGCTACTCACCAGACTGGAAACAACACATATCCCAAACACACATCACAAGCACATCTCAGAGCACAGTCTGAGCACTACTGTGAGGTAAACTGCTTCCTCACAGGCAGAATATACTGTACTTCCCCCAGGAGTCTCAGGTGTTGATCATAAGCAGAACTTCCCACCTTTCTGCAGGAGCTCTCCAACTATGTGAGGATTGGTGAATGATGGGAACTGTCTTGTGTCAAGTGACTTGGGACAATGAGGACCTTTTAAGGACACTTTACTGAACTGTGGTGGCTCTTTAATTAAAAACTCTGACAGAGGTTAGGTGGGATATTAGCACCAATCTGATGTTAGGTCCAAGGAGTATATTCACTGGTAAGGTAGGTACACAACAGTTTTCAAGGCCAGGGAAAGCCTAAGAAGTGTAAGCAATAAGGGTTTGGAGAGACTGCAAGCATTAAGCATTAAGGGTTTGGAGAGACTGAAGATGAGCCAAAAAAAACGTCATCTAAAATTCAGGATTTTGGGCACTCAGGGTAGAATAAAGGAGGATTGGACATCCACAGATATAAACAGGAAAACCCCTTGTACCCCAACTGCCAGGTTTCCAGTCACACATGGCAATCCTCTGTTACATTCTGTTCCCCAGCAGTGCTGCTGAGAAAATACTCAGTGTATTTCACGTCACATTTGTATTACTCTCTTCTTGGATTAGTGTATTATTTGGAATAAAGGAAGAAAGGGGAAAAAAATAAACAAGTCAACACCAGACTAAATTCAACAGCACATTACCCCGGAAAAGGTAGAACAATCATCTGTCAAAAGGATCCAGCACTTCTTTTTGCAATTCTCTCAATATTCCTAATTCCATAGTTTTAACCAATTGTCTGTGTATAATTTAAGACAGCATTTCACAGAGCAATTCCCACTCCACAGTACTTTGGATATTATCAAAAAGAACTAAATTTCCAAGAAAAACATCAGATTGCTTTGCCAACAGGCAACAGCATAAAGTACATTTATCAGTGGCCTAGATAAAGACACTTCCAGTTTCATCATAAAACTTGCTTTCTGCATAAGATGCTATTATGATTACCTTGTCAAACTCCCTGCTCAAAACCAGCCATGCATCTGAGCCCTGGTCTTCCTGAAGTAAATTACAGCTTACCACTTCAAGTTTACTTGTTTGTCCCTTAGAGCCAAGACAGCAAGGAATATGGATGCCATAAATAAATAGGCAGTCAAAATGCCACACCCCCCAGTAGATGTTTTCTTTCAAAGGGCATTGGCCCAGAAGAGTTTTATCTAAGAGACAGCAGTTGTGATTATCCAAGGACGTTTTAAAAGTCACCAGGATGTGAAGACAGAAACAGCTGTGCTTGTGTAGCTGTCTGTCATTCCTCTGGGCTGCAGCACTGAGAATGGAGAACAGAGCACTTGGTCAAATTTGAGTGACTCTGTGAATACAAAGTGTGATTGTGCACATTATTGAGGGTCACCTCAACTGAGCAGAGACAAGGGAGCCTTTCTCAGTAATTACACAAAGGCCTATTTACCTCTGAGCCACACTACCCAGTGGACATATACAAGGTCATATTAACAATCACCTGGGCTGTTATTAACCTGTACCTGTTTACAACAGGCATCCACTAATCTTTGCATGATTTTAGCAAGAGCCTCTGAACAGTCACAATTCATGGCCAAGGCCTCTAACTTCATTGTCTATAGTCTTACTGAAAGACACATCTTTTTGCTCATTCACCCTGAATTCTCCTTATCTTCAAGTCCTTAACCTATATCCATCATACATGGCATCTTACGGATAAGCTTCCCCACTCTTTATTATTATGGTTGTATCTAATAATGAATAGGTGCTTTTAAATCCTACTGTGAGGAAAGCTGTAGAGAAACAAAGATGCAAAATAAAAAACAAATACCTCATGACTAAATGTGCAATGGCATACCTCTAGCCTGCTCCACCAAGGTTTTAGTAGGATGGCTGAACAAGATAGAGCATTCAATTTGTAGAATCTAAGCACACACCACTAAAAACATAATATCAGAAAGTTCAGATACTCAATGAGCTTTCCCATGAATTACAAAAAGTCTCTGCCGTCTTCCTCTGAGAGTTTGTCATTTTCACAAAATATGAAAATACCTACAATGAATAGATTAACCCATGATTTTATTTCACAATATTCTGAAGGAACTGAAATTCCTAATATACAATAACGAGAACACCAGTTAGTATTAATAAAGGTCAGACTTAGTTAAGGTCTATAGGATTGGATTAAAATACAGTCAAAATAAAAGCTCAATACTCAAAAACACAGCTAAAATGCTTTAACATTCCAATCTTGGCCTTTACAAAGAGTATATAAAACATTACATTTGCAAACCACAGCCTACAAATGTAGGGAAGAAACAATCATAAAGGAGTATGTTGCCTGGAAGAAAGTTAATTGCTCCAAAAAGAAGCAAATTTAGACTAAACCTACAAAATGCTTAACAGATTTCCTTCTCCCTCCCACCTCCTAAAATGAGGCCATGTCATTACTGTACTACAGCATTTCATTTACTTGCTTTTATGCTGTTTTGTTTTCCAGTCAAAACTACTCTTCTGACTCTCAAAGCCATTTCTTATCTCACTGAGTAGTCAGTGCATTAACACAGATATATTTATGCCTTTGTAACTCAGTAACAGCCACATCACTGCTGTATTACTGCACATGTAAACTATCCCAAAACTCACCTTGCTGCATCTTCCTCTAGAAGCAGCTTCACAAATTGTCTAGGGATGTGCAGTGACAGGATGCTCTCTGCCATCTGCTCCAAGATTCTCAAGTGGTTTCCATCGGTGGTTGGGAAACGATACATTCGGCAAATGGCACCACCAAACACTAAAAAATTAAAACCATGTTATTTAAGCCTAGGGTCTGACTTAAAAGTGTACAAAGTCTCTTCTTTCTTAAAGTAAATGGCTTCAGTTCACTATGCTGAAACACCCTGCTGTAAAGATCTGGTTTAAGCAGGCATCAGTCTACCTTTTGCACGCATGGTCATTCTGCAATGGCCATTCTTCAAGTGTTTGCAGGAAAAGCCTCCACTCCAAATGACCTACTACACTGCTAAAGAAGCTAAATTAAATATATATTCACCTTTTAAAATGCCCTTTTTTTGTCTATGTACTGTGCATTTTCCTCTCACGCAATCATTTGCTGGAAAACTAACTCTTCCGCAAGATTCTTTCTGTAAAGCAATTTGCTTTCCTCTGACCCTCTCCTCACCCTGCAACAATTGTTTAGGAATAGACTATGAAATTGCATGGAAAATGTTATATTACAGTCAATCTAATGGCAAGAGTTTGCTTCTGCTGTTTTTACAGTACAGAATAGTGCATATGATAAAATGATTTATTCTGGTATGACCCTCAAAGGACTGCTCAATCAGCAGCCTGTTCCTATTCAAATGAAACATCTGCTGAAATGCCCTGGGGCCACAGGCACACAGGGAAGATTAGCTTTTACTGATACCTAAAGCTTACTTGTTACAGCCCAGGGCAGCTTACCAGATTTCAGTAGTGCATCCTTCCGCAATGAAGCATATTTGGATCTGATTCCTAAGGATTCTGTTAAACTTTCATCAACTGGCAACACAGTCTGAACAAAAAAAACCCAAGAAAAATCAGAAATTGTAAAGAATGAAACATCAGTGCCCAAACAATATGCAGTGATGACCTATCAGAAAGACTTCAAAGAAATATTAAACTCCACACATGCTTTAAATAAATATTTCTAATATTTCTCCTGTGGATAAGAAATATTGCAGGCTGGAATCCTAAGCATTCCTATTTACTTCTACTGCACAGTTCAAAATGCCACAAAAATTTTCATCCAGCCTTTCAATTACTTATGCTAGCACAGCTCCAGAGTCCTTGCAGGTACTGCATCAATAGGCACAAACAGATCTGGAGGATAAAAAGGGATTCTAATGCACACTGTGAATATAATACACATATAAGAGTTCAATGATCATCAAAATACTCAAAACACAAGCCTTACAGAATTAAATATATGTCTAGGCTGAGAAAGTACTGCAAGCATCTGCTCTCAAACAATTCTAGGAATTCCTTAGCATCTTCATTACAGATTTGCTGAATGGTATCTTTCAATCCACAATGTGAAATAAAATACCACATGTCTCTGAAACTGCTTATCCATGCACCAAATGCACCAATGAACAGTACCAAAAGCCTCTTCCAAAGAAGAACATGAATACTTGATACTAAAGCTTAACCATTTAAAATTAAAATGTTTTTTCCCAAGACTTTTAACCCCACACATGAGAACCAAGAGCTCTGCAAATCTCAAAATGGCTTCATCACCATTAGGTGATGCTCCTTACAGTATTTTGAAAATGCAAAGCACTAGTAAATATTAAGATGGACAGGTAAGTTGATGGCAGATGTCAGCTTAGCTTATTTCAATGCTGGCAATAAATCTGCATTCTTCTGAATTTGGTCCAATGCTCATACTCACCCTTCCATTAATTGTATCAGGTGACCTTGTCACTGGAGGCCTTTGGTCAGATTTTTCCTCCATCTGCCATCCAATAACTGTGATGTTACCAACACGGTCACTTTCAGCCGACCTGCAACAAATACTCTGCGTTGAGATTTTTTTGGAGGAGGACCTGTTCATCAACAAGGAAACACTTATAAAAGGCTATTAATCTTCAAACTTCAATAACAGTTTAAACAGGAAGCTTTTCAACTTCATTTGGAATAATTTTATAATGGGTTAGTCCAACAGAAGAACATTCCCCTTATTCCACAAGGATGCTGCATGGAATGAAGGCAGCCTAGGTAGCGCTCTGTGCTCAGCTTATACATTTCAGGGTAACATGACAATGAGAAGAAATGCATGTATTCACACATTTTGATAACCAGAATATACTTGATATCAAAACAAGGGAGTTTAATTAAGTCCATTTCAACTTAGCCATGACATAAGAGGTTTTCATCTCATCTTAACCATGTTTTGAAGCATTAACAGTTAAAAGAAGGAAAATACTACAAACCTTAGTGTTATGTGCAACCTGTGGTACTTCTCCTGAAGAAGATCCTTTACAGTGAACGTCCCAGAACCCAACAAATACATCTGAAAGAAGATGAATTCCAGAATTTTATTCACCTTTACAGTGAGCAAAGGCTTTGACCACAGCACTGAAGTGCAAAATACATACTAGTCCAGGAGCAAAACCATAACTAAATATGCCATATACAACTAATTAAAATCTCTTAAAATTTAATATATTTGATAATTTCTACAAGTTTTTCTTCTACTGGAGGACAATATGCATTTTTGTTTCTCTAGGATATACATGGAGGCACCTCAGTATATATGAGCTTAGGTCAAGCAATTCAGGAACATGAAAGCAATGGCTGAACAGGGCTCAGGCTGCATCCTTGACCCAAATTTGTCTCCTTGTGAAGAACTTACTTCCTCTGGGGGTGTTAATTTTTCCCTAGAGTTTCCCTATGAAGCACTGAACAGAGAGGGCTAGCTCTGCTGCCCCTGAGGAAGCCATGGAAGAGCAGATACATTGGGCCTGAAACAGTATTCTGGACAACAGTGGGAGAATAAAAGGCCTGTATTCCCCAAAAATCCAAGTAGCAATATGGGAGTGCTGACACTGAAAGGTTTTTTTTCAGTAAAGGAACAAACCTTATCCCCGAACAAAATCTAATGTATCAGTGATTCCCAGAATTTAGATGTTCTGTTCCAAAGGAACGTTTCATTCTGGCATCTTGGCACAGGCTAGAAGCCTCAGTCAGGGATGTTAGATCCTATTCACTATCTAGTTCACTAAAAATGTCCACAATATAGGAGCACAAGTGACAGGACCTTTTTTATTTAAATCCATGGTTTCCAAAGTTGCTGCAGACAAGCCTTATTTGAGAAAAGTGGCAATGCTTCTCACTCTGCCAAGCCAATCTCATTTGTTCCTCCTTTCCCTATCCATCTTGCTTTCTGTATGATCAGTGCTGCTATCTCACTGTTTTCTTCTACAGAAGTTACTAATTGTATCTCTTTCCCTCTCATTTCCTTGCTCCACTGACTGGGCAGGCAACAGGATAAAGCAAACTTACTGTTCCCTGAGATCTATCTTTGACGTCATACACGGAGAGTTTGATTTGTGTCATTTGATTGATAAGAGAGTCTTGGAAAAAGGCAATGCTGCTTAGAAAGATAGGATTACTCGTTCCCTGTAATCATAAACAAAAAGCCAAAAGTTAATGCAAGGTGATATTTGTTAGGGAAGAAATGATTCCTCTGTTAGCTTTGATTTTAAATGTAATCTAGAAGTACCTGAGCACTCACCTCAATAATTTCTGTCTGTGCATGCTTCGTCCAGAATGCCTGGGGAGGCGTAGTTACACTCACTGCTACAAAACTATTTGGTTTTCGATCTAGCGATGGAGTTAGCAGCTCACTGCAAGCTTAGGTATGCAACAGATAAATACATTTAGATTCAGGATCTTTTTCATGTTGCTGTAAGACTCGACATTTTTATAAAACCCCATTATACACCCTGAGCAACCAAACCACAAAGGGCTTCATATTCATTCTATCACCACACTATAAAAGCAGACATCACCCAACTTTGTGCACGCAAACAGTAAACATGCAATCAGCTCAGTCTGGCTCCAAGCTCTGCAGCTGCAATTTAAACTTGTTCTCTTCTAATACATGCCTATCCACCCCTTGGCAAGCTCATCCTAGGAGCCCACATGCAGGTTTTCCCCTGGGAATCGCATGACCTGGCTGCATTTGATTTGAAGTCACGCTCCATTAAGCCCATTATCAAATGGCATTTGCCCAGGGACAACCAACAGAAGCACCTGAACATTGATCAAGCAGCACTGCTGAGGAAAACCAGCTTGTAATTGCAAGATGACAGCAATTTATTTCCTCTAAAATGTTACTGTGAGTTTAACTGCTGGGAAAAGGACTATGGTGAGTAGGAAACAATTTCCAAAAATTTCCATAAGTGACCCTAAACAATTACATTAAACTTCAGAGCCAAATTCTATCTGGCTAGATACAGGTAGCTACAGTGTGGTCCAACTCAGCTTCAGCTACATGCAGGAAGTTAATTCTGAAATTTAGCTAAACAGCTTTGTAATTCTAGACATTTTTAATTTATCTGAAAATAATTGAAATACCTCATTCAGCTCTGAGAATGCTTGTTAAGATTATTATTCATAACACAATTACACACAACTGATAAAATTTTCTAATTTTACATTTGCCTACTGTTAAGAGCATAACCTTTCAAATAATAGTCCACTATTAAGCCAAAAAAAACATCCTGCAGTTGAAAATGTGGACTGAATTTTCATAAGAAAACATTTTTCACTTAAAGAATAAGTGAGGTGAGTCAATGCACAAGCTTCTTGTCCAAATTCAACCATCTCACAATTCAGGTCACTTCTACATCTTGCATTATCACTTGACAGCAAAAACCCCAGGAAAGAAGTTTGGTTTCTAAGACTTGTGAATTACACCTTTCTGCCCTAAAATGGTGTTTCCAGCAAATCTTCAGTTTGCTTGAAGACCTGAACTGCTGGTTAACTGACAGTGAAGGGAGTTTCACTGCAACTTCACATAAACAAAGTAAACAACAACAACAACAACAATAATAATAATAATCACATAGTAAACATTAAAAATTTTGGAAGACCGATTTTTTTGTTACAGACTTCTAGAAACTCCACAAAATGAAACTGCTGGCTGCTTATCAAAAGATACTGTAAAAGCAGACAAAAACTGTACCACATCTCCATAAAAATCGGAGCAAAGTTGCAAACCTTACTATACGAAATGCACTTCAAAATCAACACTTACAAAACCCCACACATATTCAACAGCATGCATTATCAAAACTAGCATGAAAATCACTAAGCCTACCTAAACTGAACTCTAAAATTGGCTCATCTGGATCCTGAATGTTTCCTGTAAAACAGAAAAATTACCACAAGATTAGACAATTCACATCACTGCCATGTGAATTCTTCCCTGAAGTTGCAATCACACAGAGAAAGAAACTACATTTTATACAAAAAATATTTTTCTTTACTTCAGTGAGCCATGACTGGTATCTAAAACATTTATCTGGTAATCCTTGGTATCCAGTAATTATTTGGAAAATCTGGGATGATCTCAGTTTATAAAACATATTAAAATATGTAAACCCATACAAGATTATATGCAATATGGGAATAGTAAATGCTTAATCTCAATAGAAAACAGCAGGATTAAAGCCTGAGCCACTACTAACTCCAAATTATTAAATCTGTGGTAGTTAATAGGACAAAATTTAGAAGTACCCGTCTCTCTCACTAATGAAAGCAAGCCTCTGAGGGTTAGAATCCTAATTTAATAACCATAAAAGATAAGAGAGACAAGCCTCAGCTCCCTGAACTCTTGAAAATTTTATACAATGTAAACCAAGGAGGTTGCCAAGACTCTTCCTAAACCATGACATTATTTTGTAATTTTCTCCCCATTGCTTATTTTTGAGTGACAAATATAACTACAAAAAATCTAACTTAATTTTTTTAATCCCCCTCTGATTTCAATGTTTTGTCTATTTTAAAAGTAGCAAATTCAAGATTTTTAGAATTTTTTAGCATAATTCCTTTATCTCATTACCTCCAGATAAACAGACAGATCTAAATCTTCGAGCAATTAAAAGAAAAAAACCAACATTAGCACAAGGCAGATTCTGGAAGAAGCAGCAAAAGAGCAGTAGCTGCCAGGAAGGTACAAACCTGTTAGAGAAAGGCCAACCATGTCAGAGGTGACATCAATGGTGGAGGCCCTCTGCACAGTGCGGGACTTGGCACCATGGCGGGGGCTGTGTTCTCTTGCTGTCATTTTCTCATGAAGAGCCCTTCTCTTCTTGCTGCTTGACTTTACTGATGTTTGTCTCACAGAGTAGCAGAGTGCAGCAGGTTGTATCCAATTGCTATTCCTCTAACATTACCACGCTAAGCAACAGAGAAAGCAAAAACATACACCAAAATTTTAGGCCACTATCAGCTACTGTTATTTTCAACTGCAGCAAATCTACTGCCATAAAATTATCTCAGATCATTCAAATAAAATGCTCAAGGCAGATCCAATGCATAGTAACTCCATTTGAATGAACTCTACATCTACAGAATTTTACAGCAAATTGTTGAAAACTGGACCATGTGCAAGAAAGCTTTTCTGTCAGAGAATGGGGATTGAGAGAGACATGCTAACAAACCAGCTGCTCTTCTCCTTTGTCTAAGTGATTAAACCATCCTTAATGAAGTTTCCTGGTTTCTACTCCCTGGGGAGCACAAGTAAATTTGTCAGATGGGGCCTCTGTCTGCAGAGGAAGCACTAGGGATAAGGACAAAGGGACAACAGGTTGGCGGAGTGCAGAACAAAAGGGCAGGAAATGTTGTCAGTGTCAGCACACTGTGCTGTTCTAGGCTCTACTGCCATGAGAAAGGGATAATGAAAACTATAAATAAAGCCTACTGGGCCAGAGAGAGGTTGAAATTCTGGGATGGTGGTGGAAAGAAAAAGCAAAAAGGGATGCCTGCTGATGTGGCAGATAGCAGCATTGGTGCTTTTCCTCCGCTTTTTTGAACTACAGACATCCATGACAGTCCTTCCCCTCACAATGCCTATGAAGTGAAAATTACAGTAGGAAAGAAAGCCTACAGAAAATTTGGTTATGATTTTGAATGTGAATGTTCCTTCAATCAACTGTGCTAGCACTGCAGTTATGGAACTTTTTTATTTGTTTCATAATCTTATGACAAACTCAATTAATTTAGCAAGTAAGGAGTAAAATCTAATAAACCTGAAAAGTACTAATAAAGTAACTAACACCTTCCCAGAAGTCTGTCATTCATTTTACAAAACATTTGAACCACACTGCAAAATAGGAGAGTATTTATTTTCCTTTTAGGTTGATGGGCCTAACAATGAGCAAGATGCATTCTAATCAAACAAAGTACCTAGCTTACATTTTGTTCTAAAACACCACTTTAAATCTGTCAGAAGGCCTCCAAAGGAACATTGAACCTGCTTAACTTAAGTCTCTGAATTTAATTAGTCAGCATACGTCTCTGGAGGATTTCAAAAGAATCTTTCTCTCTCTATGGGGTACTCAAGCTTCTTAACTATCACTGCTTCACTGGACACCAAAAATTCAAATGCAAGTTAAGCATGTAAGACAACTGAACTGAACACAGCCTGGACATCTACATCAGCTTAGAAATTAGATTTTAAATGAGGAGCTCATTCTAGGGAGGAAATTTGGACTTTGCCTACATAATAAGCCAGTCTGTTACCACTCAGAAGTAAGAATTTGATTCAAGTCAGGTTTATATAATATGGCATAAGTCAATTCCAAATGGGAAAAAAAATTTCTTTTGAATGGAAAAAGCAGAAATTGAGATCTCTGAACATCGCACCCCAAAGCTCTAAAACTCAGTGACAGTGTATAAAAACAACACTCTGCCTATATATATAATTTCTGACAGTCAAATATTAAAGTAGGCAGATTTTCAATGCATATTGAATAGTTGAGGTTGGATAAATTCTGGAGTTTACCTAATCCAACCCCTTTGCTTGAAGGAAGCTTCTCAGGACAGTGTCCAGTTGGTTTTGGACAAGAATTGGACAAGGTCTTTCGGACAAGACCTCTCTAACCAACCTGGTTGTTCCAAGGTTTGATCACACACAGTAAAAAAAGCTTTATTCTATTTATTAATGTTTAAGTGGCTAGTGAATAACCAACCTTTCTCAAATAGAACTGAATGTCCTAGTATTTATTCAAATAAAACTTCCATCAAAATTCTTTGACAGTTTCCAAGGCTTTCCATTCTCCTATTTTTTTTCCTTCTTTCACCAATAGGTTTTCCTTGGTTTGTTCTTTATATAATGTGATGTTTAACAGTCTGTAAATTTATTAAACCTAACTGCCTGATGAAAAGACCTACAAAATGTACTTGCAGAGATTAAGACAGGATGCCATAGGCCCTTCCCCCAAAATCTACAAATAACATATTAGAGAATAACTGACATGTTCACCAAGGTACAGGTCAGACAGCAATTAGACTTAAGAGCCTGGCTGCTTTTAAGTTTAATCTCTGCAATCCTTAAAAAGGGTCAATCCTTGATAAGTTACAAGAGGGTCAGGTATCTAATTTGTTTTGAAGCTATTTGTATTTAAATATTACTGGGTGTAATAGTTTTCCAAGGTTCTCTAAGACCTCAACGATTCATTTAAATTGCAATATTAATTTATCATCTAATGACACATCTTTACTTTACTTGCAAGGATCATACTTACAGAGGGCTCCTTTCCTCATGAAGAGAGGGATTTTGTATATCATATCAGTTAAATCCACATCTAAAAAAATAAACAAAATAATCATCATAACTGCACCATCTTTTTATACTGCATACATCACAACCAGTGGGCAGGTACCATTCTCAGATTAATCCATTCTCACAATTAACTGTAAATGTAACTTCTGATTACCAGTGCTCACAATAAAGTTTACTGAAAAGAAAAAGATTGTATGATCCTCTACTGGACCTCATAGAGCTTTAGTCATGGCAATACCCAGCCAGAGCAGGAGCACAAACAAATAAGCTTATGCTGAAAAGGATGACTTCAGGTCAGCATTTGGTGAGTGGGTAGAACGGCTGTAAGAAATATATGTAAACATGTTTACCAAAAGGCTTGTTGCTATTAAGAAGGAATGTATATGATATGTTGAGTTTAAGACAGCATTTGTTACTATGCTTGCTTTTCTACAGCTAAACTTTCAAAACATTGTTGTTTGGAAGAGTTATAACTGTTACTGTCATGAGAGAAGATTCTGTGTCAAAATACAGAAGTTCAAAAGATCAGGATGTAGGTCTCTTACTCTACTGGGTGAAAATACTATGTGAGGGAGCCTTCTACAAGCAGGTGGCAATGTAAAAGCAAATTATTCTTAAGCTTACTACAGGTTAAATGAAGACTTACATTTGATAATGCCACCATCTCATTCAAGTACATTTATATTAAAAGGCTATGTCTTTTAAGATCTCCCATTTATCCCATATTGCAGTAAAAGATATTAGTAATTCCAGTCTCAGTTTCTTGCTTTAATCACCAACCCTACCAATTACCCAAGACTGCTTTAGAATTTAACTTGAGCTCTTATCACTTACAGAAAGATATTATCTCACCTAAAGAACATAGGAGGCAGGTGTCTGATCTCACCACTCAGGTTCTCTGTGCAGTCAGTGGTGAAACACAGGCACTTCCAGAGAACAAGTCACTCTTTGCCAAGGTAGGTGGGATGAGTCACCCCATGGAGATACCTCTCTCTAATTATAAAAATTATTTAGATGACTCACTTAGCCCTGCTGCAGCTGGGCAAACTGGATCCCTCCCACAGCTGTGCTAGCTCAGGCAGGGGTGAGTTCCCTTTACTCAGTGCATAACCAAACAACAGGTGCTCTGATCCCTCTCCTGAAGGACAACTGCTTCAACAATTACAACCTCATGATCATGTTTTTGAGAAAAACCAAAGGAAGTAGCATTCTTACCAAATCAAAGGTAGTATTAAGAGATCACATAGTTTCCTTAGATGGGATCTATCCTTAAATGGATAGTTTCCAAAGACTGGTACCACTCCAGCAGACAGCAATGCCAAGGCTGATGTAATTCATGTTGAAGCAACTTCTCCTGAAGATGGCAGGATTTATCTACACATAGCCTTTGGCTTCACTCTTACTAAGATGGCAGACAGCGGATTGCGGATGGCAGTGCAAGTTGTGCAGCTTTGCACTCCATGAAGCTTTGCTGCAAGCCCAGTTTTCAACAGAAACATGAGAGTCTGTTGTTGACCTCCAGGATTGGTAAAGGCCAGATCCACAGTTCAGAAAAGGCTTCTGAACAAGCCTCCCTTCTCTTATGTGAATATTTGTCACTCTATTAGCACAAAAGTGTATGACCTGGAGAAAGGATCTTCATCTGATGTTACTTCTGCCCTGCTACCCCCAGACCTGCCAGTTAACTGTGGAAAGTAAATGCCATCCTGCTCAGGTACATGACCTTGTGTCTTCTGGGACTGAAACTTTGGGACGTTTCGTCTCGCTCTGCTTGCAAGATCTCAAGCAAAAATTATGATCATCTCAGCCCCAGAATAAACCCCTGATGATTAGTTTATACAACTGCAAATTAATATTCTCCTCATCTCACCAACTATTACGGCAAAGTGCTTTGGTCTGTTCCCTTCTTGAAAAAAAAATCTCCTACTGAACTACCCCTTGAAATAAACATGTGAGGTAAGATTAAACCTTACTTCAGCCTAACATCTACTTTTTTGACACTCCTTACACAACTGCAGAAAACAGGATTTTTCCAATTCACACATCAACAAGCAGGAGAAAGAGGATACTCCAATGTCCAATGACTGACTGAATCAAAGTCTCCTTTGAGATTGTACTTTTCTACAGCCATAGTGCTCTAGGCTTATGGCATTGGATCAGGTAAAGAGGCGTACCAAAGGAAAAAATGCAACAGCAGTGGAAGGCTAAATGCTACTGATATTTCTACATGAAGAGAGTAATATACAAAAAGGGAGAGTGTGACAGTTTCCTCAATGCTTTTAAAAAAATCCCACAGATGTAATCCTACTGAAAGTTTACCATCATCTCCAAGAGAGGGTGAAAAAGCAGTTGTGGGTTACTTACTGCAGTGCTATCAGTTTTAGAGTCTCAAAAGGCTCTCCAGACTGTAAGGACCATTCCCTGAACCTTAACAATTAAGGTTCTTGTTCCTGAAAAATCCATTTTGAAACATCAAGGGGGCTCCTTCAGCCAACTGCATTCTTCAAACAACATCTTCATAAATATTGTCTCTGATTGAAAATGTTTTAACAATACACAAAATCAGAAAAGTGAATACTGCCTGAAACAGTATTTTGGATCTAAAGCATGGCCTGGTTTCCAACTAACATTCTATTAACCATATAAATATGGACAAAATAATGGAAAGGAAGAAATGCCTGATTGTGCTAAGTTATGAATATGTTGCCTTTTGTGTAAGAGCACCCATCTCTAGTATAACTAGCATGCAGGGAGTGTTTTATTATTTATTTATTACCTCCAACAATAGAAAACCTTGGTAGTGAAACTAGAAACATGTTGGCTCAAACCCAATCTTACAGCAATTCCAGCAACCCACCTCCAACACCTGTTTCAAAGATGATGCAAGGAACTTTATTAGCCAGGCAAGGATCTGAGGTGAAGGTCTGGATCAACCCTACCAGTGATGGGTGCAGAGGCAGCCCAAGAACAGAGCATCAGCTCAAAGAACAGCAGCTCCCATCTAAACCCTGCTAAGACCTTCTCCAATTAAGAGCTATTTTCTTTACAGTCTGACATGCACTTCACTCTTCTGTCTCATTTAATGAGAAACTCAATGTCCTGAATCTCATGCAGATCAAAACAGGAAAAGTCAAAGCCATGAATTTGGCACCTTGAGTCAGATCCTTCCAGCCAAACTCACAGAGGCAGCAACACAGACTATGTCTACTGCACATCCATGGATTGACAACAGTTTCAGTTCATTCATTCCATGATCTATGATTCCATGAGAAGGCAAAAGAATGCAAGTGATGGCAGCACCCAATATGAAGCTTTGCCTCCCACTGACATTATTTCCCCACAAAGACACACTGGGCAGGTGCCAGCTCCACAAAGAGGCTCTATCTCCCCCTTCAGTCTGCTTCCTAAGTCTAGGTTCCCCTCATCATCTGGTTAAACGTCCCCTTCTCCCAGAACCTTGATTAACAAAGACAAAAATATTAAGTTTGGCCTGAAGTATCTTCTTGTCACTCTCTGAGGATTCCCGGAGGATTCTGAGTAAGTGAGTAACCACAGCAAAAGAGGGAAAAGTCTTCCACAAGAGAACGAAATCAACTAACACAAGATGTAACAAAGGCATTTGTGCAATGTGGAAATCCCTGAATGCAAACTTCCAGTGATATTTAGATAAAAGGGCATTTCAGCAGCAGGAAGTGGCTTGTTTTCTTTTCGCTTTCCTGTCCACAGATCCCACTTAGTTGCAGATAAGTTTGTAAGTCACAAAATTTATTCATGATCCTTCCCCTCTATGAACTTCAGTAAACTCAAATAATCTAAAAACCCAGTTTTACCTCTTCAATATATTTTAGCACTTTTAACAGGAAACTGCAATTTAGGGCCACTTAGTTCTCTATGCAAATTAAAAATATTTGTCTGTATTCACAACAGAAATACAAATAGCATTCTTTTTAATGAGATACTGTTTTAATTTCACTTGTCATTACAATGTTTTTATTTCTTTAGTGCTTCTAGGAGCACAAAAATACACACATCCAGAGGTGGAAGCAAGCATTTGTAACACACACATCTGTTCACTAAAAAGGAAAAAGCACAGCTCTGTTTCACTTTGCAGAGCAGCTTTTATCAAGCTGAACACAGTCCAATGCCATGGAAAATGCTAAGTTTTGCTACAGGGGAGTTTGAAATCCAACCCTCTCAGGCTCCTCTGTCACTTTACCAGCAGAAACTGAAACAGCTTACAAGTGGTCTTTACCCCAAATTAACCTTTACCCTCTTCACAAGAAATGTGCTGGGCACTTTGTGGTAAAGTTTCCTGTGCATGGAATGAGTTCTCTCCTCCTGACCTGGGGTTCTCATACTACCTACACAGACATGAGAAGCCCATGAGAACAGAGGACATATTTTCTGTTGAGGAGTCTGGACTGGAAATACTTCTCTGAGTTTGAGAACACCTGCCTCTCTTAGAGCAGTCTTCCATCATAACCATGAAGGTAACAATGCAGAAACACACTGTTCTAGCTGGAAAAAACAAACTCCCTCTCTGAGCTCCTCCTGCTGCAATGAAGAGTGAGGCAGGGGAACAAAGGCAGGAAAAAAAACCCAATGAAACAAAACAAATCAAATAAACAAACAAGCCCACAAAAAACCCCAAGCAACCCCCCAAAACACACAAAAAAAAAAAAGGAAAAAACTCAAACCCAAACCAAACAACCCCCAAACCCATAAATAAATAAACAAATAAAAGCAAACAAAGGTAAAACAAAACAAAAACCACAAACAAATCCAAACCCCAACACTTTATGACCTGAAATGGAGATGAACCAGACACACATAACATTTGCTAAAGATTTCATACTGCTGTTGTTTACAGATCAATGGCATTAACATATTCTCCCTCATACAGGCAATGAGAGGGGGACCACAGACAAGACAGAGGGATAAAAGCACTGAAACAAGATCTGTAATAAGAAGTTTTGGTCAAGTTTGGATTACAACCAAACATCTAGGGAACTATCTGATCTA